CTGAATTTTTTCAGTGATTCTATTCAGTTGGTCTCTTCCATCTTTACTCAATTGTACTGCAGCAGTAGGAATGTATCATGTCCCATAGGCTTATTGCAAGTTTCGTTGTCATATTTTAACTGCAAATGATAACATGATCTGACACAGATATTGAGAAAATGAAATATTTTGTGTGCATGTGCATGAGCAACTTAGCTCTTAGATTCTTAGTTCCAAATTTTTCTTGCCTTGAAATATTTGTATAGAAATACAGAACATCTGGAGAAAAAAAAGGTAATATTACTCCTTTTCTTTTTCCTGTGAGAGCATCACTTACTATCCTTCCCATTATGTTGCATCTCAACACTTATGTGGACTTCCTCCTAAACTGAGACAGCATGTATCAGTGCCATCTGCTGACTTTGGACAGTATTGCTCCAAAGTTTGAAAATCTACGGGGAAAACTGATGACACAGATTTGAACAGGCTGCAAAACGAGGGATTAAATAAAGTTATACATAATGTATCTGTATTGTTTTGAAATGACACAGGAGAAATTATCATAGGAGCGAAAAGAAAGAAGCCTTCCAATCAGAAGTGCTTCTTGGTGTAAACTGTGACTGTGTTTGGAGTAATTAATGTTTTCACCGATTATCTGGAGATGAACCGCCCTATAAAATGGCACAAGGAACTAGTGGAGAAAGATCATGTAGGGTGCCAAGTCATTTGCCTGCTCTCCAAAAACACTTTAGTATCTGTACTTAAGTGCTCACTAAAATTAGCCTATGATGCTAATATACTTCTCCTTGCCTCGAGCTTGCTGAAGTAATGGTTTCAAATGTTATGTTACTTCGAAGAAACTCTGATTGCAGTGAAAAACCACCAAACTAATTCTAAAGTTTCCAAAAGCTTGTCTGAGTTACGTTAATAGTGCTTCTCTTAAAATATGCAGGAAGAAGAAAGAAAATTCTACTTTTTGAATTAATGTCTATTTTTACATTATATTTCAATCTTATTGCGTATGTTTGTTTAAGTGACTACATATACAAACTTCTAATGGATTATGAAAACAAAAGGAAAACAGGGCTGATCTGTATCTGTCTCTGTCCAGTTCTCTGATGTCCCTAGATTTTGTGGACACCTAGTTTGCAAGTTAGCATACGGAAGGAAACAAAACACACAGAAAAAAAGGGGAAATCAGGTTATCAATAATGGAATTAGAGAGATTTTAATGAAAATTTCTAAGAAAATAAACACAGCCACCTATAAGCTGTCTTTTCCCAGGCTGCACTGTGGGACTGTGTCAGAGTGGTGCACAGTTTTGTTATTGGTTGATATAAATTTCTAATGGGATATTGAAATAGAAAGTTTCTATCAAAAATAAGCCCTACCATTCCCAAGTGCTACTTAAAAAAAAGATAGAAGTACTGTGCCTTTTTGTACAGGAAGGAATATGGAAAAAAAGTGCAGTGAAGTCTAGAAAAAGAATGTTCTGAGAAGCAGGACTGACAATGAGCCCTTGACTGACTGCCCAGATCTGTGACTCTGTCTTCCTTGTTGCTTGGCAACTCTATGTTATCACAAAGAAACTGATATTAAGTTGGAACAGGCTGGATATGGTAATTTACGTGGGAAGATACTCTTGCAGTGGGAAAACCATTTTATTTCTAGTTTCTGTCAGCGTAAGTAGGTTTCACATGATGAACTGTAGTACATCCCCTTTCGGGTGCATTTTACCTAAAAAGGTAAAGAACAACTCTGCCCTGGAAAGAGACTGTGAAAAAAAAAATAATTTAAAAACTACAAAAAGAAAAAGAAAAAAGGGGAAAAAAAAAATAGAAGAAAGAAAGATAGAAAGAAAAGCAACAATGCCCCCTAGCACCTTGCTATTTATTAGGCATGCTCCTAGTATCTACTTGGACATTCTTCCAACAGTAGTGACAAAGGCTGGTCTGCACAGCTATGTGGTTCCACATGCAGTTTACAGTTTAGAGAGATGGAACTTAATTTGAAGACCATCATAGAAATGGAGTAATTTGAATTTCGTTGGTACTGCACGATTGGGAAAAGAACCCCTTTTGTTAAATTGAGATGAATGGAGAGTATGGCAAGGGTCTGTATATAAAGCATATCTTATCTTGAAAGCACTGAGCCACAAGAGAAACATAATACATAAATATGTTTTTATATTTAGGCTTAGGTCTAAGATCTAAAGGGAAAGAGAGAATATACAGAATATGCACTATTTGATGAAACTGCTTTGTTTCTTAAATGTTTGTTTTACTTGTAGTTCTACTAAACAACATCACACTGCATTCCCATCTCTATATTTCCATCCTGTTCCATTTCCAGTAATTTAACACCAACGTGCAGTTCTACAAGTAAGGAAGTACTTCACATGTCTTCAGGACTCCCTGTTCTGGCTTTGGTCAGCAAAACATTCCCTGTCTCCAGCCTTCTCTCTGCTGCAGAGTTAACTTGAAATATAACTCAACTTTTACCCTTGGCTCAAATCCCAACAATACACAAAAACTTTGTGCCTCGAGTGTGTTGATGCTGTTCAGCCAAAGGGATTGGCCTGGACTGTCAGAAGGCACAGGCAGCAGTTTCAATTAGCAAAGCTAATACAGCTACCCAGTGCTGCTCCAAAGACTTGTCTTCATTGCCAAAAAAGGTGTATTTTTACTGAGGGATAATTAGCCTGAATTAGCTGTCCTTATTTAAAATAAAGCCCTCCATCTCTTTTCTTACAGTGAAGTCATTGCTTCCCTATTAACACAGAGGATCCTCTTTTAATGAGGCTAAGATAACAGAGAAGGAATTAACTTTGCAATGAAAACAGCCCGTGATGTTCCAGGCATCAGTTAGACCCACAGACTGCAAGCTAAGCCCCTTTCTGAACTCACTCATGGCAGGGAAGTATCTTCCTTGCTCACTTTTCACTTGGCCAGCATAGGATGGATCAGCTTGCATTCTATCTACCAAACTAATGAGTTTGTCTCCTTTTTAATTTACCACATCACCTTCAATAAATCAAAAAATGCTTTGGGCTGTTATCTGACTCGGAGACGAGTAATTACTGGATTGACTCCAGCAGCAAGCGTGGCTTAGTTAAAACGCGGTGTATTTCCCAAAATGGTAGTGACCAATTTTATTCTGAGTGCAGCCTAAAAAAATTTTATAACAGGAGAGGTGAACTTCACTCTTCCCTAAAGAAAGCACTCTTCCACTGCTTTTAAACTGAGGTTCACTGCTAAATGATGAAGAGCTGTCTTATAGCCCCTTACCACTGGCATCTCATCCTTACCTAACCCGTCTTAACTGCTGTGTTGCTAACACACACAACCCACCTGCTTCTTAAACCCAGGTGTTGTGGTAACATAAAGCTTGCTAGCAGTCTCCTGTACCTTATGCTCATTGCATGAGTTTGTAGAGTCTCCGGTATGCCACCCAGCAGTACCCTCTGGCTTGTGAACCATGCCAGACTCAGGGCTGCAAAATTGTAGCACCTCAGCATGGCACCAAAAATTCCTCTACACTTTGGTTTTGTCTTTTTTTTTTTTTCAGATTTTTTTTTTTTTTTCAATTTGGAAGTGTTCTTTAAAACAGCCTTGTCACCTTAGCTTTTATTGGAAAAAGAAAAAAAAAAAAAGAAAAAAAAAGAAAAAAAGGCTGCCTCCTGCAGCAGGAATATGTTCAGTATTTCCCACTGGTGAGAAACAATTGCTGATATGTTTTTTCATTCTTGAACTCTGATAAGCACAGAAGGAATAAGTAGTTAGGGGTGTGCTCCCTGTGTCTTACAGGGATGCATTGAAGCTCTGGGGAGAGGTGCTGAGGGAGCAAACTAGGGCAGCAATCCCTCCTGTTGTGGCTTAGCGGAGCTCTCCAAGAGCACTGCTTGGAGCCAGGAGGAGGTCCCAACACTGGCTAGCTGTTGAGAGCCAACGTTTTCACTTTGTCCACTGTTCCCATTAGCATCTGCAATTAGTTCTAGCTAGTCATGTTCTCAGAGAGGGCTTAAGGAAGGGTGGGAGTAAAAAGAGAAGTTTAAACATCGTTCTGTTTTTAGAACTACCCAAGTGTCTCCTATGGGACTGAATGACTCAGAGTTCATACACAGAGCTTGCCACCTCCAGGATTTTTATTTCATATCTGTCACAGGTCTGTAATGACTGTAGGACTGAATGTGATTGAAAATTAAACTGTTTTCAGAAGCATTGTTACTGACATATTAATGTTATGAAGATAGCTCTCTCATGTCTTGTGCATAGTTACTGCATCTTGTTGATTTGCAAGTGTTGATACAGAAGTAAAATAAAGGAAGTAAAAAAAAAAGCCAACAGATACAGGCTTGGGAGTGCATGGCTTATATTTGAATGTGAGATACCAGCCCTCTGGTAAACTAAAACACAACAGAATAGATGATACTTCTAGATGTTAAAAAACTAAACAATTATTAAAAAACCCACTCACAAACAAATTATCAGCAGAAACCTTTCCCTGCTTCAATGAGCATGACTCATGGGTTTCTGAATTTTGATGGATGGTTGTAAAAAAAAATAGTTTTATCTACTACTGACAGATGGAAGGTTTCTTGGCTTCAGAAATATGAACTGCTGGATCTCAAGTACCTTGGTCCAAAAATAAAACTCTTTTAATAACATGTCTCAATTTTGACAACCATACTGTGCAGTAAGTCTTGGATTCTACATATAAGCATGTTTTAAAAGACTAAACCAGACCTTTATTTTAGGGCTAGATCAATCCTGTCAGTTTGTTAAGTCCTTAGAACAGGATCTCAGTATTAAATGCAATGGTTCTTTCTGTTAACTCCAAATCTGAGTTTGTTGAGGGTACAGCTTAGAATTTAAAACACAGTTCCTTTATTTTTCTTGAATTTAATTTGGAAGACGTGAAAACATTAAGTTGTTTTTTGATGATGAGGCTTGAATAAATATACAGGAACAAAGCACAGTTGAATCTGTAAGTGAAATGATGATTTCTTCTTCATGTTGCAGAGCACAGACAACTCAAATATATCTGTAATTGCTCAGAACAAAAAGTGCTTTGATAATGATATTGTTTGCTCGAAGAATATTTTCATTGCTGTTGGAGACTCTGAGATTTATTTTAGTGAACTTTCTGAGAAGCAGGTTAGTTATTTTCTTTCTTTTTTTGGGTAGCCTTTCAAGACAACTATTCTGAAGTTATGACTGTAAAGGAACATATTTTTGGAAAATATCTCCCAGTCTGGGTTGATGCAGTATAAGTGTCTAGGCTTGGATAAAGCATCAGCTCCCAGAAAAAATACTGTTTTTTCAGTTTTCTTCAAGTTCTTTTTTTCATACAAAGAAGACTGATCTAAAACCTCAAGGAGTCAAACCATGCTGAGATTTATTTTGCACCATTTGGTTTTGAAAGTTAAACCAAAGTACATAATGAAAGCAAACCTGAATGATCCAAAACACAGGATATCAAAGTATTAAACAACATTTCTAGTAATAGTATTGATTCAGCTATATAGTGCAGATAAAGTATGCTTTTGTATACACTTTACATTACTAATTGGCTGTGGTGGAATTATGTTATTAGATCTTAATGATATCCATTTTTGTCAGAGTACCTTGAGGGGACAGGAAAACAAATCTAACTATCAGCTTTGGATGGCTGGATATTATACTGTGATACACTTTCCAGAACAGGATATTACAATTCTGTGGGATAAGAAGACCATGATGCATGTTACAGTTGGACCTCAATGGAAGGTGAGCCAAAATAAAAATTAGGGATTTTATGTAGTTCTCAATGTTGTTAATGTTGTACCTTCACGAATCGCTGTGATTACCTTTTCTTCTTGACTTGCCTTCCTAGTGATATAGCAGTTTAACAGCTTTTAGTGTTTTCCAGGTAAAATATGACTGAGGATGTGATTTAATGACTGGAGCCCTGAAAAGAAAGGGGTGGTTTCTACGTGCATGTTTACTCTGTTGCTCCACACATTGTAACCTTGAAGATGTACAGTGATTCAATTCTGACTCAAAGTTAATTTAGGAGACGGAAAAGAGGATTAGATTTGAGTTACCTCACATGTTTTCCCAATTTCTGAGAACAGTGGAAATGAATCTGCAGTAAATACATAGATCTCAATGAAGAAGAGGGCTCATTTATAGCACAGGTTGTGTTAGGCTAATGGTGGAACTGAACCCTGGAACTGAACTGAGTTGCAGAGGAGGCTGCTGAGATGAACGGATGGTGTTGTATCTTGAGTATAAATTTAAGAAAATGAGTTACAAGAAAGGATCTAGACAAGAACTGACATTTAAACCACGTAAGTATACTGTGACAGGGTTAAGGGCATGATGCAGGGAAGAACATGAGGCTCTTTCTCTTCGCAGTTGCTCTTTATTCATTTTCTACATCAACATCTTCCTTGGTGCTTCTGTGACTCAATCTCTGGGTCCTGATGTAGTAACTTTATAAGCAAATTCAGTAATTGCATCCCTGCTCCACATCGGAAGTGATTCTATGTATTGTGAGGAAGCGCTTTTCTGTAAAAGAAAAGAAAATGAAAGGGCTTCATGCTAGAAAAAAAATATCAGGTATTTTGGAATCTAAGACAAAGTTTCAGTAACCATTTAATCTCTTTTTAAAGCAACACTGTTGTAGGCTTTTGTCTCTATGGGCAGAAAATACTTCACGTATTTGCTGATTTATCAGCCATCAATAAAGAAAAAATATATTTATTATTCTGTTTTACAGAATAATAAGCAAGGGGCTCAGGTCTAAAAATTGTATATGTGGGCACAGATACCTCAGTCTCTTTCTACTTTCTGTAGCTGTTTTTTCTGTAGGCTCTAGGTTAGCAAGACACAGTCTGCAGCAGTCCTTATAGAAACAACTCATTAGGCTGAGCCACAAAACCCTAAAAAACCAACTCTGTATTTTATTGTATGTATAACATTTTGTTTATGTATCTATGTGTGTATGTATGCATGTATATTTTTTTCATCAGCAGCACACTTGCTCCAACACAGGAGTATTACAACTGTCTCTTTCATAACTGCTGCTGTTATGAATGTTCTTGCTATTGTGATCTAAAAAAGAGGCAGCAAGTTTCAATCACAACAACTAGCCAAGCTTCACAATTACAAGGTAATTCACCTGAACTTTTGAATTCCAGATTGGACACAGTACTAAGCTTTCGGAAGTAGAAGAAAAAAGGCAAACAAATAACAATTAAAAGTGATTTGTAATTGGTTACTGTAAGTATAGCAGAATGTCAGATATTTTCCAAGTGTAAGTCAGTTGCACTCACCTTTTTCATCTTAAGAATATTATAATCCAAACTGATTATTATTGACTATTAGGATATGTAAAAAATACATCCTTTTTCTTTTTTAGGGTAAATTGGCAGGTTTGTGTGGAAATTTTGACAAATACACTTCAAACGACCTGACTACTTCAAACAACATGGAGGTGAGGAATGCACAGGTATTTGGAGACAGCTGGGTGTTAGGACAGGTAAGCCCCATGTCCAGTAAAAATTTAGAATAAAAAGTTGCTAATTTTAATTTATAAATGAATACAGTATGAGTGTATGAAACAGGGATTTTCTAAATTCAGAGTCATGATACATTTTTGAACTTTTATGTCTGTAGAGTCTTATACTGGTAACAAACATACTGAATTTAAATGAAACCATCCAAGATTTTCAGGTAAAAATACACTGATCCCTAAATAAAATATTTATTATAGCTGTCTGGATTTCAATTTTCTACAGGTTTCATAGAATCATAGAATATCCTCAGTTAGAAGGAACCCACAAGAATCACCAAGTCCAGCCCTTGACTCCATGCACAACCACCCCAAATTCAGTTTGTTTTCAAAATTTAGAATCAGTCCAGCTTTAAAAACACTTATCATTTTTCTGATGTTGGAAGCGTAGGGATATGGAAAGTAAACAGGATCTGAACACTGAAGAGAAAAAGGTGGTCATCAGCCCCCTCATGCTGCCTGCTTACGTACAAGCACATGAGGGATTTTCTGCGCAGTGCACAGTTAAAATTCATCTTTTAATTCATCTTAAAATTTAATCTGTTCTCTCCCTTACTCAGAGCAGGAAATTGAACCAATATCTCACCTCATGAAAGAATATGATATCAATTCTGCTTTGGAAGAAAGCCCTTGAGGTTTATCTCCCTCAATCTCCCCTTTTGGATCTGTTCTACACTTCATAAAATGTTTAAGTTTTGTGAGCAAGTAAGGGAAATATGTTTGTGGTTCTGCCGCTCATCTAGAAGGTGGTACATAAAGTGCATAAATACTTTATATGAAGTGTAATAGTATCAACAAAAGAGAACAAAAGCAATACTCTCTTGAATTCTCTGTAGGATCGTAGGAGGACTGGGTTTGGCTTCAAAGGGACAGAAGGAGTTTGTGCTCTCCTATCACTTAATGAAGCACTGGAACTGTTGTCTCTGTTGACAGGGTTTGAGGAAGGGTCCCAGAGACGAGCTCTGTTCATACTCTTCCGCTTAAAAAGCATGCTTGTAGAACCAAGTATAACAGGAATGCTTTTGATTTTATTCCATGAAAATCTTGAAGTTCTCTTTTTGCTTTTAATCCCACAATGTATTGTTTTAATTTTTCAGGTCAGTGGCTTCTATGGTCTTAAACCATAAAAAGATGTTAGGGCACTTTACAGATAGGACCTCTGGCCCTCGAAGAGATGTATCCTGGTCATCTTTTCTGCATTATAAACACTGGAAAAGCATAATTGGTAGCTGGAGGCCTAGAACCCAATTCCGCTGCTGGGAAATGCGCTAGCATTTGCACAGTGAGAAGTGGGATGATTGCAGGGTTTCTTGTTGTCAGGAGCACATCCCCACACAGCATCATCAGAGTACCCCAATACTGTGAGTGGGTCTGTCACTGCTGTCTCCTGAGCTCCTCTGTTGTAGCAAGAGAGTATGCTTTCAGTTGAACTCATGTTCTTAGAGCTAAGTGCCATTTGCTTATATTTTTCTGTTCACTTGTTTTTCTTCTTGAAGAGAGACTTAAAGAGAGGGAATTATATCTCAGCCACTTTTGAGTTATCATGATGAACTTTGACTCATTTTTGTGAGTCCTACCACTGCTTTATTTGAACTTACAGGGCTACAGTCATCTGTAGTGTGCCTCCATTTAAAGTCAGTACAAAACCACCAGGGATGTATTTGGACCATGTATTTGTTTGTGATGTTACAGTTGGTTGCTCTGGTAATGATTATAATGTGTCACAAAGAAAACATTTTGTCTTAATGTGCTGAACAGACAGAAGGAACACTTTAGTACTTCAGAACAAAACACAAAGATTCTGTTTTGTGCAAATGTTTTCAATTATAAAAACAGATCAGGGAAAGCAGAAGATAAAGAAAATAGAATGTAAACATTATTTTAGTTTTTGGACTACATAAGTATTGAGTTATATTATGTACATAGTGTAGCGGAGTCCGTGGCAAATACATCTTTTTATGAAATGACTGTGGTGTTTTTGTTTGCTTTTGAGTGCAAGAGCCCAAATGAAACACTAAAACCATGCGAGGTACATCAAAACAAGTTCCCTTACGCCAAAAAGGAATGCTCTATTTTGTACAGTGATGTTTTCGCACCTTGTCGCAATGTGGTAAGTTTATTAAATAAACCAGTTTTGCTCTCATGTAGGAAATATTAAAATTCCAACAATTAATTTCTTCTTGCCGTTCCTCTCTGAGTTCCATGGAGAACAGTAAGAAGAGCCTTGCAGCTATGTGTGTGGGCTATGTTTGTGTAGAGCTCCTTGTTCCTTTCAGAAGTGGAGCCTAAACATCATAGTGGTAACTGGAAGTTATGAGTTAGTAGACAAGAAAATCAGACTTCTGTTCTCTTTTGGTATTATTTGTATCTTTGATTTATATAGGTAACTTGAATTTTAAGGTTTTTGTGGATTTTTAAAGTAGGCATTCATGTGATGTGTTTCCATCTTATCTAAAATGGTTTTATTTAGTTGACTGTCCTGCAAAATATAGAAAGAAATATAGGAAAGTGAGATTTCAGCTTCAAAGCTATCAGTATTTTTAAAAGGTCAACATCTTAATTGCTTTGTATCAAAGCTCTGCTGTGTGGTGTCTCTACTCCTTACCTGACTGAGTATGGGACTTGAGTTACAAGACTGTCCATAAGCTCAGTCTAGACAGGACAGGGACAACAGTAAGTTGTGTGGGAATCTTTTATTCCTTTGTAGTCCACCCTTTACCAGTGCAATATATTCTCTGTGTATCTATGTCTCTTTCTGATTTGAGCTTCCCAAAGGTATTCAGAGGTGCTTCTTAACACCTGTGCAAGCAAGAACCACTATGATGTTTTGCTTCACTCTTTTTTTTTTTTTTTTTTTTTTTTTTTTTTTTGTGACTAGATGAGATTAGTAGATGTTGCAGCTGAATCTTCTGACTTTCAGGACTAGAGTTTGATGTTCACATGGTCAGGAATTTGTCAGAAGAGGAGGTTGCAGTAGCTTAACCCAGGAGATTTATTGATGTTGACTTTGGTTACTATGTAAAGAATTTTTTGAACGTGTGCCTGAGAACACAGTGATGAGTGTATTTTCAAAGTGGAAAGTAATAAATAAAAATGGACTTTTGAGAGTTTTTAAGAAGCTATATTACAATAAGTCTTAAAGACAGATGTTTTCCATTCCATTCTTTATCTTACCTATGTTGTGATTAAAATTTTCAGGTATTATGCTAAGAATTTAGCACATTAATAACAAGAAATTCATGTCAGGTGCAAAACATGACTTTTAATTCCTTGTCAGGTATTTTCATATACACATATCCATCTTGAGACAGCTTGTAAAGCAAACATCTTCCAGGTATTTTTACAACCTACTCATGAATGTGTGAAAAACTGCTCTTATTAAAGGAAGGTGCCATGACTTCCTATCAAAGATACCTACCTGGCTACTCCCTGCACAGGCAGGTACCAAGGGAAAAAAAAAAAAGCCACCATGAAACACAATAAAGCAATAAAATAAGCACAGCTGGACTCTGGGAGGCTAGGAGGAATAGAAGGTGAAGGGATAGGTCTCACAGTGCTTAAAGCAGCTGCCTTGCAGAGTCTCTCCTGCAGTGTGGGTGGTGTAGGATGCTGCTGCGCATAGAGACAAATTCCTGCTCTGGGCCACAGCCTCAGATTCAGCCCAGGCTGGAAAATCCAATTTTAAGGGATACAAAATTTTGCATCTCTGGCTGGAAGGGACTTATGGATTGCAGTACTCAGCTGAGCGCTGAATTCAGCAGCTGAAGAGTGGAAAGAAAAATCCATAACTCTTAAACTCAAAAGGAACTTCAATCTGAGCCTTCCTGCTTGTCACAATAAGATGATGCAGATGAAAGAGAGGATGAAATCTGAAGCTACTGTGCTGTTTGGTAATTTCTGCTAAGGTGCTATAGCCATTTTCAACGGCTCATGCCCCCACTCCAGTAGTATCTCTATTTCCAAAATTAGAAAAAAGAATGAAAGTAAAATGGCATGTCTCTCTAAGCACTAAAGGCAGAATAACAGTCATCTTATCTCTGTCAGCATCCAGCAACTGCCAGCTGAGAAGCTGTTTCAGTGCTGCCTTGTTGCTGTGACGGTGTTTGTGTAATCTGAGTGTCATTGGAATGCTCTACAGCTGAGACAGATTGGAGTCTATAAATGAATCCAAGCTGAAGAGAAACATTGTTTTAAAGAATCAATGTGTTGAATGAGAACAGGTTTTTTTTAGGAGATCTTGCTCAACATTACAAAAAAAGACCTCTTAAAACCGAGAAGTACAGTATCAATATCACAGTTTTAATTTGGGAGATTTTAGAGTGGGGAAGTGAGTGCCTCAGCTAATGAAGATTTGAAGGTTGAATATGTTGTAAAATGTCAGACGTGTGCTCAAGCTTGCTTGCCCTGGCGAAGGCCCCACTCAAATTTCTACTTTAAGTACTCGATAATCAGAGTTACAGCTCTGTAACTCTGATTTTATTGTTCTTCATGCAGAGCTAACACGATGACTATAGGTGGCAGCATTTGCATTATGAAAACGCAGAACTGTCACCTTCATTGAGCTCTTCAGAATCAACTAACAGCAAGAGTGTGGAGAGAGTATGAACAGTCATACTTGTTAAAAGCCATTGATTAAAATTTTTCTTTTGTCTGTAACATAGGTACAAACTGGTTATTTGCAGTATACTATTTGTAAAGGATTATACCAAAATCTTAGAAAATGCCATGTTTTTGTGTTAAATTCTTTCAGTCGATCCTTGCACCTTCCTGCTGAAAATGGTGCAACATAAATTTGTACAACTCATGTAATCAAGTCACCTGCCCCTTCCCACCTTCTCTTTTCCAGATTGATGTGACTTCTTTTGTTAAGAACTGTCATACAGATACGTGTAACTGCAATCTTGGTGGGGACTGTGAGTGTTTGTGTACCAGTATTGCAGCTTATGCCCACAAGTGCTGCCAGCATGGAGCAGTGATTCATTGGCGATCTCCGTCGCTCTGTGGTATGTACCTGGGATGGCCTCACACCACAGACCACCCAGAGAAGTGGGTATATATGGCCTTTCTCTTCACAAAAATACAAGCATGACACAAGCAGGTGGTTAATAAATGTCCTTCTTTGCCTTTTTTTTCCAAGCAATGTATGTGTTAGCTGCTGAATACCTTACATTTACTGTTCTACTTCTCTCTGTGGAGGGGTTCCAGAATTCTGTGTGCAGAGATTCAGTCCACTCTGCTTTTCACTGAGGGTGGGAAGAGTTCTTGAATACAGAATAATTAGTGCTGTCTACCAATTAGGTTTGATGTCTGGGCACATCTATTTTAAATACAGCTGTTTGTCCCTGAATAAAAGCCAGAGGAAATAAAGTCACTGGCTGGAATATGTTATAGAACATGAAAGTGAATTTTACAGTTTTAGGATGCAGATAAGAGTGATCTGTTTTACTTTATAGTAACAACATCCTTGTTTCCTTTTTCTTTTAGCTTATGACTGTGAATATTATAATCAAGGTACGTAGTGCTTAACATTACTCTTTCACATTTTTTCACAGTGCTTTAACATTACTCCTCCAAGTATTTATTATTGCTGAATACACTTAACTCTGTTTGCTAGCATGCTACCTAGTTATGTGCTAGAAATGAATCTGTACTCCCTGATTCCAACAACAAATCTGCATTTATAAAGCATTTAGTTGCACACCATTCACTTAAAAAAAATAATTTCCCACAGTGGCTGTTCTAGAGTATGGAAGGTATCTTTGGCATACTTTCTATCATCTTTCTTCTATGCTATGCTGTTCTGAAATATTTATCTTTCCCCAAAATATTTTGTTTCTCTTTTAAAAACAGAAACCCAAGAGATAATTTTCTTATATTGCTTCATTCTGGCTAAAGGTGAAAAAGTATGCTGTGGTAGTATCTCTCTTTGCTGGTTAGAAAGAATTTTTTGTATTCCTGATTTGGATATGTGAGTTCAGTGTGCTCAGCATGTTAAGCAAAGCAAGTTTCCATGGATCTTTCTGCTCTATGTCCAGAGACAGGGAGCGTATGGAAACAAACATCTTTCTTGTAAGTAAAGCCACGAATCTGGCATCTCAGAGGAAACATGATATGATGCACACAGAAAGCAACCCTCCTTGTAGCTTGTGCTGAGAAAAGCCTCTGTAAGCTCCAGCAGTGTTGGATATAATCTCACTTCTAGGCTCCCATTCCTTATGGTAGGATTGCATAGTCACCATTGTTTGGTCTCACTGGACCTTCAGATCAAATTGGAAAGGAGAGGTGGCAAATATGTCATTTACCACATGTTCGTTTCCTTTTTAATATCATTATGTCACTATACTGACTATTTTTGCGACATAACCTCCCATTTGTAATAAAAGTCTTCTCTTCTGCTTAGTCAGAGGCTGTAAAATATCTCTGAAGGTAAGTGTGTATGAACACATCTCCTGCATTCTTGAGTTCCACAGATTGAGTCTGCACAGAAATACTCTTTTCCATTGCCTGTGTTTGCTGATGCAGTACTACAATATCTGTTAGGACAAGATAAAACATTTGAAAACTAGATATTGCATATGAGATGTCAAAACATGAACAATTTGTTTGATGATTTGGGAAACCCATTATTACTTTTGTTTTGGTTTTGTGAATATATGTTAATAATCAATTAGTTGGTAATCTATATAATTAGATATAATATTCATATGTTCTATTTTCCTTTTGTTAAGACTCTTTCAAAAATAAAAACAAGAGGTCAAGGTTATTCAGAACATCTTGTCACACATATCTGTGTTAAACTATTTCCAATAATAAAACCATTTCCACTCTGTTCTGCTATGCATATCTAAAAATGTTTATTTTCTGTACAATATCCCATGTATTGCTTGGGCGTTGTCCCATTTAAATAAAAACAGGCAATCTCACAATAAGGGACTCTAATGTTAACTCATTGTACATCTTATATTAACATTTTCATGTCACTGAACTAGTTGCCTTTGTTACAAAACTTAAGTCTCCTCTCAAGAAGGAATTGTGTAGACATACTGAATCTCTGGTAATACTGAGTTAAGATTAATCTTTATGATAATAAGTAATCTGATATTATTTTTAGAAAGAAAACATTTGTCACATTATGCAATTATGTTACAGGTTTTCATTCTGAGCTGACTTGCTTTCATTTGATTTTCCTTCTTGCATTGACATATAAAAGAGATTGCTCTGGTTCAATGAAGATTTAACCACTGGGATGTTTCTTTGACTTGATGTTTATGGTTTTAACTGATTTCGTAAACTTTTGATGGATGGAGGTCAGTGGCCCCACTGTGTTCAATAATCTTGTTGACCTTCTGGAGTGTAGGATGGCTCCTCTGATTTTTTTTTTTGTCTTGTATGGTGCCAAACTGTTGAATCTTCATGGAAACTTTCCCTGTTATGGCTCGTTGCTGCTTTTGCTGAAGCTACAGGGAAAAAATCTGTTAATATGTGAGGGTAAACATCCAGTGATTAAGGATGAAGAGACTGTAATTGACTTGTCACTTCTATAGAAGGGGTCACTTTGTGACAAACTTGTGAACTTCCTAAGCATGTGAGCTCCGGCATAATTTCAGTATAGAAGCAGTATTTATTTTCTTGCAGTGTTCTTCAGAAAGTGGTGTTTAAGTTCTAGTGGAGCCAAATCTCATTATTATGAGACGTCCTTCCCTCTTGAAAGTCATACTGGAGAGAGCTGTGCTACGCTATGAAGGCGATTCATTTTTTTTTATTCCCACTAGGATTAAAGGATTAAAAGCTTTCACAAAAATTACAAATCTTGTTTATTACTAAAGGCAAGATTTTAGAAGTATGCTGCTCTTGGTTCTTTTACTGGACTATAGTGACAAGGACTGATGCTGTTATATCTGGATATAACCCTGTGGGCCCTTTCCAGTCCAGCAAAAATACCTTTAGAATTTTTTATAGGATGTCTAGGGCATGATTAGGCCACCAGCATTCTGGCAGCAGTACTGGCTGAAGTTGTCACTGCTGTATCGGCATAAACTTTTGGATGACTGTGTGCTGAACCAGACTGGAAAATTCAGCTGGTTATTTTTCAGTAGGATCAGTTTACTGCCGAAGCACTTAGGATGTCATAATAAATGGGGCAGCAGAGGAACAGAAGCAAGTGTTTTGTGGGAGGGGATGAAGTAGGAAACTCCTTGAACAAGATTGCTGCCAAAATTTCAATTACAGTCTTGTAATTTAAAACGTTTCTTTAATCTTTCTTTTTTTTTCTTTTTTTTTTTTCTTCTTTTTTTCTTCTTTTTTTGATAGCTTTGTAGAGCTTAGAATACCTTTGGTGTCTTGGGTAATAATATTAAAGCTGCAGTGCTGATCTTCCAAAGTACAGAAGTAAGGATATGTGGAAAACTAAATACTATACAAAAGCAGTCCAGGTTGCTTTTTTGTTCAAGTTATTTTGTGAGGATAACTAGCCATATCTTTTTAATGTGGACTTTGTATCTGTTGTATTCTGGAAATCAAGCAAAGAGGAAGGGAGTGCCTCAAATACATAAATACAGGCCAACTTCAACAGAACACCTTGAGGCACTGAGTTGCAGTTCAAAATGTATTTGATTCCAGGTAAGGTGAATGTGTAAAGCAATATTTTGTCAGCTAAGGCTCAAGTCTTGTATGCTGTGCAAGTAGAATTGTTTGTTTTTCTGTTTGATTCTTCTTCTCTTAGGTCTTGGTGAAGGACCATATATTTTGGCAAGTTCTGGAGAAAATGATACAATTATAGGAGCTAATATTTCCACTAGACGAATATTTCCCCTGCCTAGAAATGCAGTGTATGGAAATGTATTTTTCAGTTTCATGATAACTCCAGGTCTTTTCAAAGATAAAGATTTATGTAAGTGTTCTCAATGTTTATGTGTATGTCTGCCCATGTTTTTCAAACCATCTGAATGATTGTTGCTGCATCTTCTAGAACTAAAATTGTATGGATATTTTTAGTTATTGGAATAAGTAAGGATGAAATGTTCTATTCTTGAGGAGGAATACTAATCTTTGGAGAAAAAAATGGTAAATCAGTCAGCTGTAAAGCTGACTTTTCAAAAAACTGTTTTTAGAATGTTTAAAATGCAAATGCATAGAATTCTTTCTTTAGAAAAATGCAATTAGATTTCATAACTGGAAACTGGAAAATTTTGCATACGTATCTAACAATTTTGAAACAAGGAATATTTTGGTCTCCAATAAAATTCTTGTCTATTCTTGTTTTTGGTGACTTTCAGTGCACCACAAAATGTGAAAGTTAGTACAACCAGATGTTTAAATCTTCTTTCTTCTACATACATCTTCTGTTTTATGTATTTTCTCATTGCTTTCTGCAGTCACGAAATTTAATTTGTTGACAAAATTCCAAATCTTCAAAAATCAACACAAAGAAGGGCTGTTTTCACAGTAAAACTTGAAACTGTAGTCACATGCTTTGGACAATTTGCCATATGCAAATTAGATCTTTTATGATTTTTAAAAGAGAAAGTATATTATATAGAAATATCAGTTCAGACTTGTCCAGTTAGCTAAGCAATGTGAATTATAAATAAAATATTAATTATATCTGTGTAGTACACAAGTTTTCTTATCTGTAGGGTCAGGATAGTGTTTATACAGAATAAAAGTACTTCTAGATTTATTCAAGGCACCAACCAAATCTGAAGTCAGCCTTTTTTCAAGTTCTTAAACACTCAGAGAGTTTTCTTCATTTTCATCATGAGAACAGAGTGTTCAGACTCCTATTTAGCATGCAGACATATGTATTGCTGGATAAGATACTCAGGTAAAATTCATCAAGGTGAATTCAAGCAAATGTTTACAAAAGAAATTTTACTAAAGAAATTTTGCTACAGTTGAAATGTCAGACATTTGTCAAAATCTGAGGAAAAACTGCCCCAATTTGAGTAAATCCAAAAACTGAGAGTGCTTACGAATTGTTCTGAGGTCTAGCAGTAAGCTGAATGTAGTTTTTATCTAATTAGCCCTCTGGTGAACTCTGCATTATGTGATCATTTGAAGTTTCCTTTAGACTCTGCATTTCTAATATTTTTATGTTATAGGAAACTGTTCTTTCTTAGTTGTGTGGGTTTTTTTTCTTTTCTGATAAACAGCTATTTTAAGGAGCCACTTAATCAATATATAGATTGAATCTCACTTTCAGACCATTTTCTCTGAAAACCTTACAAGTAATGGTTCACTTTTTGTTTTGTGGAAGCTCTCTCCCTTGTTTCCCTTGAGTCTGCTGAAAGACCAAACTACTTTGTGTATGTACATGCTGATGAAACTGTTGGATTGGAGCAATGGCAGGCAAGTGCCTCCTTCCAAAGACGAGCCACCTTCTTCCACCACCAAGGCCTCTGGAGTCGAGGGCTCAGTGCCTTTGAGCTACACAGTAAAAAAGGCTTTTTCATCATTCTCACATCATCTGGTATTAAAGTGGCAAAGTACGATGATTCAGAAGAATTCAAACATATGAGTAGCTTTAGTATTGAAGGTAAATTTTGCATAATCCTCATTAATCAGTATGGATTCTTCTGTTTGCCTTTGGAGCACTTCTCTTGTGCCAAAAACAGCAACTAGTATTTTAATTTTCTCTTCTAATTTGGTCTTGAATTCCACCTCCAAATATTATAATTTTCTAATTCTTGCATATGCAAAGATTAATTTATCTTTGGACTATATTCTCATTCTTTTTCACAATGCATGTAGCATGTCACAAAAAATGCATGTTAAAGTCTTGTTATTGAACTGCATGATATCTTTTTTGTTTAATGAATGAGGTAAATACTGCTTCTGAAACAAACAGTATATTCAATATGTTTCACTGTTTTTTTTTAAACAAAATATGCTGTGAAAAGTGAGGAGATTTTTTTTATCTTTTATGTTCTGATGTTTTTTACCTTGATTGAATTTGAAGTATGTATTCAAATGGCATAAATGAATGAAATCTCACCTATTAAAGTTCCTGAGAATTCCTATTCTTAGTTTTCTATTTTTACATATTTCTGAAATTACCAAAATACATTATAGAAAAGACTATGCATTTACAATTTATTGACTTACAAAGCCAATAAATAATACCTTTTCCTTCTTCCTCAGAACTCAGTGCATCTGTGCCTTACAGGAAGATGTGTGAATGGAGATATGAATCTTGTGCTAATCCTTGCTTTAAAACATGTAGTGATCCTGAAGGAACAGCATGTAAATTCCTTCCTCCGTAAGTCAAATTAAGCTTAATATTACTACTACATTATTCTATGTCTTGTATGTTTAATTAATCTTGTAAAAATTAATTTAATCTTGTAAAAATTACTGCAGCAGCAGTATCCATTTATTTTACTCATCCAGATTTCAACAGCAGCTCTTACAAGTATTGTGAAAACCTCTTACTCTCTGTGTTATGTATTCCTTTTGCATGTGATCTTTTGACATAAGTAGGAGCAAGAATAAAAAGGGTTGAATTTAGCTTAGGGGATTAACTTCTGGCAGTACTAGGTAGAAATGGTATTAAATGAAATGAAGGCTATTCCCTTCAATGGCTATGATATATTCACGTCCAAAACCAGTATCACATGATGCTGTAACTGAATTAATCTTTCCGGAGTTCGAATGCATGAGACAAAAACCTGGAACAATTTTAAGGTTGAGTGCCGCCCTCTCCTGTGAGAGGATGGAACTTTATACTAAGAGATGTTCTTGGCATGACTTGAAGGATTTCACACTACTGGTGTTAGCTTGTTTCTTAGTCCTGGTAATAGGGATTCCTGTTTTCATGGGTTCCTGGCTTCTGTGAAACCAGAATTCTTATAAACAAACAAAAAGAAAAGATGTCATTCAAATATCTTATTTAACCAAACTGAAGTAACTTAAAATTGATTTGTATTTCTGCTGTGAATCTAGAATTAACTACACAATATTTTAAAGGGTTGAAGGATGCTTGCCATATTGTCCCACAAACATGATCCTTGATGAGGTCACACTTAAATGTGTTTACCCAGAAGACTGTAAGTATATGTTATGTTATTGACCTAATCTTATAAATGAGGTTTTAATCAGATATATTTTGCTTTTATTTTCTATTACCTTTTAAATTAAATGCTTTAACAGAATATCCTTCTTTAGAAGAGCCGTCTGGGACATGTGCTCAATTTCCAGTCATTCAAAATGCATCTGCTACATCCAAATGAGACATAGCTAATGTTGAATTATTTCATTTCTCTAATACTTTATAAAATTCAGCATTTGTGATGATGTCATACTCACCTTAACTGTGATTTGACTGTATAACAACTAATGTGTCATATGTGTATGGAAGATTTCAAATGGAAAAAATACTGCTATGGTGAAAAGTTCAGACTTTTCAGTTGGTGAGCCACCATTGATAAATTCAGGACATCTATTTCATAATTTCTGGTGTGTGAAGTTACCACATCATTTGGTTATTTTGGGGGTATTGTATTTTTTTTTACATAGCAATTATGTTTTAATACTGTCTTTTTAACTTACAAGTTTGAATTAATTGCATTTTTAGTTTTGCTAGTATGAAGTTACACAGCCTTCCAAAGAAATAAAAGAAGATAAAAACTCTAATTTTTTAATTCCAAATATTTTGCTACTTTAGATTTAATGAATTTTCCATAGAATTCTCTTGTTGCTTCAAAACTATTCTGCAAATTCAAGGTTGTAGGTAACAATAAAAATATGCTATTCGTTTGCAAACAAAATTAGAAAACTTCTTGAGAGTTGAGTTCCTCAAAGCCATCAGGCAACCAGAAACCATTGCTAATTTCAGCAAAATGATGCTCTAATTTACTAATCTTTAAATGGTACTTATGTGAAGATAGATGTTGCTATTTTTCATTACCGTAAAAGACAGTTAAATGTGCCTTTTCCTTTCAGGCATACCTGTGAAACCTGTGGAATCAGCAGCTGGAACAAAACCTTCATTGTTAATCTCTCATCCGGTTGCTACCACAGAGAGATTTCCTAAGACATCTCCCATACATGTAACTTCAGGGACTGAGTCATCTGGTACTGATGTGACAGTCAAAATTACCATGAAGACAAACATAACTTTAGCAGGAGCGAACATGTCAGCACAGTCTGTTACAGACTTGTACTCACTGGAAGATACCACCTATTCATCATATTCATTTCCAAGTACAGTGGAAACTTCTGATGTACCTCACAGCACTGCAAGTCCTTCTGTCCTTTCCAAGCTTATATCTTCAACAAATTTTCAAGCTGCTTTTCAAACCTCATCCATCACATCATATACTGTCAATTCTAATGCATCTACAACTTTACCCATTCCAATAGCAGCTTCAACAACCTTACTCAGTAGAATTCCTCTTCCAACATATTCTATATTATTAACACCCTTGTTGTATTTCCATTTCCACTTGAAGTATCAACCACTCAGCAAGGAACTCTTCCCTCTACCTCAACACTTTAGCCTCCAAACCATCTTTCGTCACTTCTGAGCTGCCAGCAGGAACTGTGAGGAGTAAGAGTCCTTCAGAAAGTTATTCTAAGGAAGAAGCAGTATTTTCTGAATTGTCTTCGCCTGCTTGGATGGCTGGCAGAGATACCTTCATAAGACTCATACTTCTTCTGCATTCACAGCTGATACTTAGTACGCCTACCTCTCCTGTATCTACTTTGTCTGTTAGAACTGCATCTAGTGTTGGTCAACCTATAGGTCATCCAACACCCATTTCTGCACTGACTTCAATTGCTCATCAAAGTTCTAAAACAACTAGATTTGCTAGCTTTGAGACAAGTTTTCTTCAATTAACCACAACTTTATATTCTGAAACAGCTAAACCCCTTTCCGAAACATCACTGGTACCACTAAATAGAACTTCTCTAGTTTTTCTCCAAAGCTATTTTTATCTTCAGTAGAAATTTCAGTGACTGTTCTCAAGCAGACCTCTCCATTAATAAAAGGCAGTATTTCTACTGCTCTGTCCATAATTACTGCATCTTTAACTCAAGTAGCATCTCAAATCCTATAACCACTTCCCTAGTCCTCTGTAACACATCTATACCAGTGCATTCCCTGATAACCTCCCTGAAACTTCCCAAAACTATGGGAGATGTCACTTTTCTCTCAAAGTGTATTTATAAAGAACCTTCCACTTCTTCAATGTCTTTAATAGTAAGTCTTACAATATTCAATGATATGTTTGTAGCAAGCTCAATCTCAATAGAAAATAAAGATACATAATGCAAAAGGATTCCTTTTCACTGTCATTCACTTCTAAAAAGCCAAAGAAGTCTGCTAGCTCTAATCTTCCTTCTTAGGACACTGGTACCACCTCTGAATACTATGTTATTATATTATTATATTATATTATTATAAAATTAAAAAGCAGAACAAGGGACAGCACACAGAGCTGAAAATTACCTTGTCACACTGACAGCAAGCACTTTCATTCCTAAAGATCCTTCTTTTACAATGCTATCATCTTTTTTAAAAGTCTTGCTATCATTACTACTATATTCTGTGACTTCATGTACAATAGTTTACTCACTGATTTCCATATTCAGTTGAACACCTTTGTCATCACAAAATATAATTTCTTCCCAAGCACCAGTTTCATCTCTAGATATACAAGCAAGATCAATAAGTACAGCTGTAGACTTTGAATTTCTGCAGATTTTTCGACATTCATTTTAAACATAGGCTCTTCTACAAGCCTTTCAGCATCACTAAACGCATCATTATACCACCCTCTCTACTAATGCCTAAAACTCTAGAGGCCTCTTTAGAAAGCCAATAGAGTATGTCTTCACCTCCTCCTAAGACCGCTCATATCTCTACTATTTCTCTAGGAAAACAGAGTTCTTCAGTAAGTTCTTCAGCAGAAGATGGAACAGTATCAGTCATATCAGCTGGAATCGGCACTCAATCCACTACATCAATGATGGTGAATACAACAGTGAATGCTACATCCTTAAGAACACCTTATATTTTTGCAAAAATACCACCTAGTTCTTCAGCCAGTGTATTAGTTGCTTCTGACACTACTGTAGACCCTAGGATTACTGCAAAGACCACAGATGATTTAGCTGATTCAAAGTTTCATATGGCTTCAGCTTCAGTTCCTACTACCACAGAAACACCTATGTATGAGTCATACAAATCTTTACTTACATTTGCTCCATCTCAAGCTTCACAGAGCAGTAAAGAAACTCCAAAAACAACAGTCATGAAATTGAGTACCACAAGCCCATTATCAAAGACAAAAAGTACCTCATTTGCAACTTCAGAATTTAAATATGTAACCTCATTTGAAAGAACCGTAGGTATTTTAGAAAGCAGCCAGACTTCGTATATACAAAGAAATGTAACCAAGGCAAAGTCAACCACAATTGAGAAATCTTTCCTACCTTATTTGACAGTTGCTGTAAGTCGGAGTTCGCCTTTTTCGAGCGTAAGGATAACCTCAGCAAAAAATCTCTCGGAAGTTCCGGATGCCAAGACATCAGATTGGTCCAAAATCCTAACACAGACTACCATTAAACCTTATTTCAATTTAACAGAACACACAGAACTGCAGGATAGAACTTTAATAGATTTATCTCATTCTAGTGATGAAATGGCTCTGTCTTCTTCCCTCGTGGAAACACAAACTTCTCTGGCAAGCAGAGACACAGTGACAACTATAGCTGACAAAACGTTGTTCAGCACAGTGATGCATACACTGATGTCTTCATCTTCTGACTGTGTGGTATGATCACTTTTACTTGCCCCACAATGTTAATATATGTATATATAATACATAATACATATTCCTTTTCAGTCTGATTTATTATGTCATGCATATTATACCAGAGGTTTTAAATATCTCCTATTTTTCTTTTTATTTTTCAATTTAATAAAATGAATTATTGTTGGAGGCCTGTAGCATCCCTGCTTTTATATCACGCTGGTCTATTCTGTAACTTAGATGCATTGCTCTGAAAAATAATTGATTTTAAAGCTATGTGCGATTCTATACAGTGAAATATATTTCTGAGATATGAAAAAGGCAGAAACCATAGAATGTTGGTTTTTCTTCTTTTTTTTAATTTTATTTTATTTTATTTTTTTCTCTCTTTGTGATAGGGTTTAAACTGATGGGAATGTGTGCTTCTGTATTTCTTAAAATGCTTTGAGTTATTACTGAACATAACACAGACCCTCAATGCAGAAAGCTTTATATAGAATATTCCACTACTGCTAGACAGAGCAGAAAGGTTGTGTGTGAATTAATGTGTATTCTTGTCATCTGCAACAATCAAAAATAAGCAATCATTTCCAAAATAACAGATTAAAAAATCCACAGCTGCAAGATGATTAAGTCTGTACAGTATAGACACTCTAAATCTAAATTGTAGGATGTTTCTGCACTATCAAAACCTTGGCATGTCAGCCTGAGTTTTTCATCTGTCTGAATTATCTTCAGATTTCTATTTATTTTATGCAATTTATTTTATAGCCATATTTTTGTATGTATGTATTCAATTTCTCAGAGAAAGAGCTACTTTTTTTCCTCAGTGTTCTGGTTATTTAGAGATCTTTTACTTTCTAACAGTAGGAAGGCAAGGTATTGATTTAACGATCTCTCATTATTTTAAACTTAGAACCAGGTTAACTTGGAGAGATCTAGAGGCTATGGTTAGCTTGCTAGGAATGTGTTTCATGGAACAAAAGCATGTATTGGTGTGTACTTTATTTAAAGTTGCATGATAAGGAGTATTTTAGTCCAGCTACCAGACCTGATGACAAGTACATATGAGGGGCCACATAGATGTTTTGATTCTGTCTCAGAGCAGAGCATGAACTAGTGAAGAATTGTTTATACTTTGTAAGTACAGTGAGTGTAAAGTTGATTCTGGTTGTTTTTTCCCTATATGAAAGCCAAGATACCTTGAACCTGTCGACAAATGTAGCCAGTATGTATGTGTTCATACGGGCTGGATGTTATACAACCTTTCAAAGAACTGCCTTAAGGATGCACAGAAGCCAGACTGTGGTTTTCGAGGAATGCCAGTTCAAGTTAATAATGATAGTTGTTGCCCAGAATGGGAATGTCCTTGTAAGTAATTTTATTTATAAATACTTACAACGTAGAGCCTTAATATATAAATTTTAGGTGATATACTGAGAGACTATTACAGTGGAAAGATGAGGTTGAGTATAGAAATTAATTTAAAGGAGATTACTTGGGTCTCATCAGCAAAACACAAGGAAATATAGTAAATGCTTTGGTGTCTTTGAATTAACATTCAGGAGTCAACTTTGTTTTAAACAAAAACACTGAAATTAGAACTGCAACATGAATATAAACATTTTCAGCTGAAAATCTTCAGAATATTTATCATTAGAAAATATTTGTATGTCAACATTTTGGAGAAGAACACAAATTAAATACCAGCCTTTTATGAAAGAACCTCTAGATTTCCCTCTGCTCCAGGAGGAGTTCTTACTGACCTTTAGAAACTATAGAGATTGGGAGCAGACTTTCTGCCTGGAGTACCAGCAGTTCAAAGAAAAGTAGTATTAAAAACTTTGCAGCATTTCTGAAACCTTTATAATAATTTTTAATATTCATCTGGAGATAGAATGGGTGCATCTCTTGCATGTCAAATATTTCCTATATTTAATTAATTTAATTACATTGTTATTAAATTAATTAATACACTGTCATTTAATCTGACAACGTAGAAATTCATTATCCTTACCTGTGAAACATTGACATAAGTTAATTTTTCACCAATTTAAACTTTCCCAGGAACAAAGCACTCGTTTTAAGCTGTTTTGCACAGAGTAACATAAGATGCTTCTCCTTGTGGCTCAGTATGCTGTCTGCAGAACAATGACATCTAGACACATATATGGAAGTATCTTATATGAAAGCACTTCATATGAAAGTATTTGTCAAAGTGATTGTTTTTAGAAATGCCTAATACTATGTAACCTCATTAAATGACAGTTCTTTTTTAGGTCAGTGTTCTGTTCTGTCTGAACTGAGTGTTATTACGTTTGATGGAAACAGCATAGCCCTCTGTAACATGGCTTCCTACGTTTTAGTCAAGCTACCAGGAGAAACTATTGTTGCTCACATTGAAAAATGTCCTGCTAATCAAGTAAGAAACTTGCATTTCCATGGTACTTGTAGTAGTGTCTGGAATTATTGTGTTAGGGATCTAACAGTTGATAAAAATGCATTGGTTTCTAAAAACAGTTCATTAAAAGATTCATTGTGTGTATTACTTTTTATTATTTATAGGAAACATATTGAGTTTAATTAGTTTTATACTAGTTTAATTAGGAAACTAGTTGTAGAAAAACGTTTAAACACAAAGAAAACAGTCAATTTTTTTTTGCCAAATAAGAATTCTGGAATTTACTGTTGCATTTCTAATCCACTTTTCAATGTTTTCCAGAGTGCAAATTCAATAAGAAAAATAGTAAGTGCTTTTTTTTTCTTCTACTAATTATAAACTGTGTTAATATTACACCTATGGAAATAATTCCCTTCCTCCTCAAAAATTGTAACCAAACTTGTTCATTGCTTTTCTTTCAAGGTTCCTCCTGCAAGCACGTCAGGGCTCTGTTTTAAGAAATTAAATGTAACAACACATACATCCAAACTACTTATCAATCGTTTAGAAAGAAAAGTAAGTTTTTGTCACCAATATATAGCACATGTACACTAAAGAGGTAACTGTAGTGCTATTCTATTGTAGAATGCTGTAGGTCAGACTTAGAGTGATAGGATCTCTTTTGCAGTTCATATTGCCAGTGATTTGTGGTATGCTAGGGAAAATAAAAAAGTTTCTGACACTCAGATTTACTTGCCTGCCACTTATATGACATTTCAAAGTGTTTCAAGATATTAAAGATTTTTTAAAAGCTACAAAAGCATTCATAATTGATAATGTATTTCCAGATAACATCAAACAGAACAGAAGCTTTTCAAGATGTAATAGATATTTAAGCTGTCATTTATGTGGACAATAACAGATTAGAATAGGTAACTTTGAATAACTGAGCTTAGATTTTTTTTTTATTTTATTTTAACCAAATGATATGGGATAAGTACGGGATACTGCTTAGTTTGAAAAGATTTCCATATCATTATTTTTTTCTTATGCCTATTTCATCTGCAGTTACAGTGTCACTGACAAGAAGCACTATGATTTAAGCACAGCAATTACTGACACAGCATATGGCAGAGGCTGTAAAATCTCTTTTGCTATTCGATGTAAAGACATCATATAAAATAACTCTTTGTAATCTGTTTTTATCCCTAAAGTCTATATTTGGTTTATTTTAGGTAGTGGTGGATTCTGTAATCCCATCCTTACCATTTTCAAAAGAAGGACTGAGTATTCAGGATACTGGTGCAATGTATGTCGTTAATACTCCAGCTGGTATTAGCATCAAGTGGGCTCACATTACGGGCATCATAGATATACAGTATGGATTGCATTCTAACACATCAATAATGACAGAAGGACTTTGTGGTGAGACTATGGTGGCAATTAATTGTTTTCATATTCAGCATTTATATCTCTTTTCTATATTCATTTTTGTGATTTTATCCCTATGGCTTTTGTGACTTCTAGTGATTATGCTAGCAATTCTATTTGAGGTGGGCTTTTGAAATTCTGTTAATTAACAAGAGTAAAATGATAATTCTATGTGAAAGCAATCCTTCCTAATAAAGTATTTTTCAAATTCTAGGCACTGAGGTAGCAAAACGAAACAGTACTGTTAAGAATACTGTCAAATATTTACCATGCAAGTACCATCTTCTGTGCTTCTCCTTGCCATCTAGGAGAATAACAGGGCTTGTCACCACAGGCTAGCCTTCTGTGGACCCTGGAGGGTATCAGGAAGCATTAAGGCAAGGACTGGGCTATGTAGAAGCAAAGTAGAAAAAAGCTACAAAAATGCTGGCTGATCCCTGGGATGTGATACACTATTGTGAAGATTAAAAAGATTGATGTCATTCACTTATATATTTATTGGAGGTTTCTATTTCCACTGATGATGAATTAACTGAATAAAACCTGTAATGCATTCAGGTAGAGAGTGGATGTCAGGCATTTAGGGGGGCTTTTTTTTTCTTTTCTTTTCTTTTTTTTTTTCTACTCTTACATTAATAAATAGATTAGGAAAAACATTTTCAATTTAAAAAGTAATTTGGTCTTCAAAGGGTTCCTTTCACTTTCACTATTTCTTGCATTTAGAATGTCCAGTTTAGACTGAATGAAGTCAGCAACGTGCACTTATTTTGAAAGCCACCTGCACTAACTTCTATGCAGCTGGCTGCTGTTCAGTTGAACAGTAACAGAAAATGGTGCCATGTCAGTAAATTTTTCACCTTCACTAGCACCTTTTGGTAACAGTTTTTCTTAAAAGTTAGTTCATTGTTGGCAAAAGTATAATTACTTGTATTGCACGGTTTGCTCATTTTACTAAGGTGATAATAAAATCACGTGTATACAATTGGAACTACTGTGGACATGTAGCTGCTTGGACTTACAAATCAGATGCTAAGTCTCACACATGAACTTCATGCAATGTTATTCTTACCTTATCAAATGCACATTTCTTTCTCAAAGGAAGTAATACGCCATGTTCTGTTGGTTCTTTCTGTTTTTGCTTTGAACATGATGCTCTCTCTCCAGGGGTGTGTAATGGAGATCCTACTGATGATCTGAAAATGCAAAACAGAACCATAATTACAAATATGGAGGAAATTGAAGTGTTCATTAAGAGCTGGGAAATTGAGAAATCTCTTGATGTAACAACTAGGAGGCCAGTAAGAAACTGTACTGAAGATAACTGCACATATTGTATGGAACTGTTAAACAGAAGTTTCTTCATCCATTGTCACAATAAAGTGAGTACAAAGAAATTCCAGGTGCAAATTAAATAAGTTGTGTAATTAAGAAAAGAGTGAGAGTGATGCAGATTTTTTTAATGTTATGCTTATTTTCAAGAGTTCACAAAAGGATGGATGGCTTTAATAAATATTTTTGTCATGCTGTCCATTGTAAATAAACACAGAATAACATAATCACAGGGATTGGAAGGGACCTCAAGAGATCACTGAGTCCAACCCCTCTATTAAAGCAGGTACCCTACAATAGGTCATACAGGTAGGTGTCCACATGGGTCATGAAATCTGCACAGAAGACTTCACAACCATTCTGTGCAGCCTGTTCCAGTGCTCTATCACCCTTACTGTAAAGAACTTCTGCATGTTTGTATGAAACTTCTTGTGTTCAAGTTTTAGGCCACTGCTCCTTGTCCTATCACTACACACCACTGAAAAGAGCCTGGCCTCATCCATTTGCCTCCCACTTCCCTATAGATGTTTATAAACATCAGTCTTCTTTTCCCCATGCTGAACAGACCCAGGTTACTCAGCCCTTTCTCATATGGGAAACGCTCCAGGCCCTTTATCATCTTAGTTATTAAGTTTTTGTTATTTAAAATGAAACAGACATTTATGTGGATCTCTGTGCTATTATGCTGTTTCTTAAATCACTGAGTAGGCAGAGCTCACAGGAGTGGCAACAGGTGTGTTATCTCAACGCAGGTGTGTTCCTGAAGAGATATTTTTAGGAAAAGCTTGACAACAGTCACTAGAAATGGAAGCCTCACTTTTTTTCTTTATATAACAGCAACTCATGCAGTCTGAGACTGATTGTACTAATTACATTTCCACTTCTGATGTAGTTGCTATTATGTTGACAGTTTTGAAGCCTTTCTTACAGAAACCATAATAATTTCTATATTTTTGGAAGCTGTTCTTTCAAATGGGGTTGTAGGTCTTGCACGCAGGCTACCACTAGAGGTAGCCAGTGCAACGCATCTGCAATGTGAAATGAGAAATCCCATCTCCCTCAGGATTGACTTTCCCACTTTTCCCACTTAATTCAGAATAATTTCTCACTACTCTTTTTCCAGCCTGGTTTTGCTTTGCAGTACTCTTTGTGATTTTCATCCCAGACAAATGGTACTACAGGTATTGCAAGCAGCTGAACCCCTTCCTTAAAACTCCCAAACTCACTCTTCGTTTTTCCCTGTTAGAAATAATATAGACCGTTCTTCTCAGAGAAATGGGTTAAAGAGATTTTAGAGCTATCTGCCACAGAAACAAAATGGGAGGGAATGATGGAGGGAAAGAACAGTGGTAAGAAGTTTGGAATCAAGAAAATAGAATAGTACCAGTGCTAGAAGTATGCTTTTCATAATTGTTTGAACGTATCTAATTATGAAATAATTTAATCTGAATAGTCAGAAATCATACTTCATTTACGTGTCCAGGAGAACTCTCACAGCCTCAGGTACAATGAAATTACATATTTGCCTGGTCTATAACAAAATCTGACATAGCATAGAAATGGCCAGGTTGGTTCATCCGTTAGGAAGTTGATTTTCTTTCATACACATTGAGGAGAATAATAAATTCCGGCAGATTAAGTTCTGCGGAATGAATGTTCTGGAAAAAAACATTATATATTTACTCTAAGCATTAATTTTGATTTTATTTTCCTGTAGCTGTATTATTTCTTGTAATTAATGATTAATTTTAATTACAGAAAGCTCTTCTACTTGTTAATTCTCAGTTAAAATGTGTTCCTAGGTTTCACCACAGGAATTTTGTGAGAAGATGTGGATCAACAGTACTTATTTTTGGAATTATGAGTGTGATGCACTTTCTGCATATGTAGCTTTATGCAACAAGCACAATATCTGCATTAAATGGAGGACACCCGATTACTGTCGTAAGCTGACAGCAATGTTCCATATCCTAATGTGACTTTATACTGCTGCAGTGTTCAGTGATGGGTTAAGAAAAATGCATTTCTTTTTGCTGTTCTTAGAAGTACTGTCTCATTCTACCACAATATTAGTAAGGCACGGTCTTGAGATTTATCACTAGAATTATAATCTTGATTGAATGAGTAGCTTAACTAAAGTGCCACTAAATATAGAAACGTATGCTTTCTATGATACACTTTCTTGTTCCTACTACTTGTTTATCCAATGAAATTTTGAAAGAGTCAATACTCAGTTTCCTCTTTTTACAACTTGCAGCACTGAATTGTCCTGAGGGCAAGGAATACCAGCCTTGTGTGAAACCCTGTGAAGCCAAGACATGCTTGAATAAGTGGTCGTATGAAGATTCTACGTGTTCTTATTTAAGGGAAGACTGTGTGTGTAGACGTGGCACTGTTCTACATAGAACAGACTCGGACTTCTGTATTCCAGAAGAAAAATGTAGTAAGTGCACTAGACAGAGGGGGTTTGCAAATATCTGCTAATATTACTAATAACTTGCTAATATTACTAATAATTTGCTAATAACTACAGATCAACGTTAACAATGTTTAAATTCTAAGTCAGACTTCAGAAGGTGTGAATCCAGTATAGCTCTATTCTACAGAGCCTAGCTTTTATCTGAAGCTACAGCTTGAGTCTGTTCTTTCACCTAATTTAATTCTGCAGGAGAAAAATAATGGTCATTCTTCCATTGCTACCAGGCGTTCTTTCCTGGAGTACTCAGGAGGAGTAGCAGGGGCAGCTTCTTTTCCCTGCATTTGTTGACTGTTTTAACCCATAAAAAAGCATTTGTTTAATATCATCATCCTTTCTTGATTCATCATAATGCTCTGAAGTGCTCCTCTTATAAGCAATAAGGTCACCTAGATAACAAACAAATTCGTTGTTGCTTGCAGTCTTAACTCTCCACTTGTCAAAGGGATGCAACATTTTTCTCTCAGCATGTACAGATAACAGAGGACAACCCCGCTCTGCTGGGGAGATCTGGAATGGGTCCACGAGAGGCTGCTGCATATACAGCTGCTTAGAAAATGGAAGTATTGTTGCTGTAGAACCTGAATGCAATGAGGATCCACCACTGGCTTGTGAAAGAGAAGGAGAAGTGATTGTCCTTGTCATGGAAGTAGGGGATTGCTGTCCAAAAAAAGTTTGTGGTATGTCACATGTATTTTCAGTTACAGAAGTGTAAATTAAACACTAGGTACTTGTCAGCAAAGGTTTCTTTTTTTGACGGGATTCAAGGTGACATTTCTGAGAAGTGTTATTTAGGTAATTGTGGCTGGTTGGATCAACACTATCACTTTTCTTTTAAGAACTAACTCAGTGAAATCAAAACTTAGTTATTTCAAGTCTACTAATGAAACAAGATTTCTGTTTAAAATGATTTTTTAAGCTCTTCTGAAGGATTTCAAAAGAAATTGAGAAACACTCCATGACAGAAGTAGCTTGGTAGGTAGGGCAGTTACCAGAGCTTACTGGTACATTACATTACAGAATCACAGAATTGCATTCTTATGAGTGCCTTGCTAAGTGAAGTGCCCTCTAACTTTGCATTCCTCTGTGTCCCAGAAAGTAGCACTCTGTGAGGTGATCACTGACTACTAATATTCAAGTTAGTTCTCAGCAAAAGGAATATGCTTATTGCTGCTAAAATGTTAAGCAGAAGATATTTACTTCTTAAAACATCTTCAGGAAAAAAGAGAACAAATGTTCCAGCTGATCTGGTACTTTGGTGCCTCAGCTACCTGTAACTGACACTGTATTGTTGATTTGTTCAGGAAACATTTTCATATGCAGGAAGCAGGACAAGTAAATACAGGCATCCCTCTGGGAGGGATTTAACTTTTCTTGCACAGTACCACATGAATGGAGCTGTACAGCCCTGGGTTGAAGTGGGAGGCCTACATGGTGATGTGCTGTAAGCTGACTTGGTTGCTGTAGGTTTCAAATACATGAAAACAGTTTGTGTTTTTTTTTTTTTTTTTTTTTTTTTTTTTTTGTTCTGCAGAATGTAACATATCATTGTGTGATGCTATTATTCCAACATGCAAAAGCAGTGAAAAACTGATTGTAGACTACAGCCCCCTGTCCTGCTGTCCACAGTACCGATGCGGTAAGGGAAACCCGAATAAACACTTTGTTCAACGCTTTCCAGTCTTGTAATGTCTGTTGTAAGAAACTTCATTTTACAAGTTGGTCCAATTTTCAGCAGAATGGGACACTAAATAACACTTGGATATGGTATATCTTTTTCAAATTCTTCAATACTTATTTATTTGTGTTTTGTGTTACTTCTGGTTTACAGTCTGACTTTTTCTTTGACTATTTTTTTTTTTTTTTTACTAAAGGTAGGAATACATTTTATTTATCTTTTTAGCATTGTTTCTGTGACTCTTCTTAACATACATTTCATCTCTTACAGAATGTGATCCTTCAGTTTGTTTCAATTCTTCTCAGCTGGACTGCAGAGAAGACCAATTTATTGTTGAAGCAAAACTGGAAGATCCCTGCTGTTTCTCTTATCTCTGTGGTAGGTAACTGAGGAGTAGTTAAGTACAATCTGTATCTTTAAATACAGTAACTGAAACCAGGAATTGATGCTAGTAGGAGTTTACACAAGCCAGGCTGTCTTGAGAATGAATTACTCTTGTGTTCTGAGATTTCCAACATTACTTTTAACTTCATATTTGCTCTGCAAAATAATATTGTTAACACACTGTTCTTCACAATTGAATTATAAGATCTATGCAGTCAGTGATATATCATGCATTGCAGCTCAGTCTCGGTGGTTCTTTAAACTGACTATTAGTGTAAGTTCTGACACCTAAGAGCATGCACAACTGTTATATCTGTAGTTTTGAATGTCAGTCCATAAAAGATCTGTTACCCACATAAGCATGACTTGTAATATTAAAGAAAACTTGTGTGTGCTAACTTCCTAAAATTTGTAAATAACTGTTTATTTTTAATTTAGTTTGTGAATCCTGTGTTGAGCCTGTTCCCTTGTGTAATGAAGGGGAAATTCTCACCGTAGACCTTCATACCATACGTTACTGTTGTCCTCATTACTACTGTGGTGAGTGTAAACATTAATACAGTCTGTTACCAAATTTAGTAAAAAAAATAGGGAGCGTGTGTGAACATCTCTTTGGTGCAGCATTTAGGGTGGACTTTGTCTAGAGACTAAATACTCGAAATTAGGGTGTCTACTTTTGAGGTGGATTTAGAGTTGTTGGTACATTCACTGGTAGTCTAGCCAGCACAGTCAGTAGAGCTTATGTACCTCACCAAGCAGTACATGGCTACTTTCATGGAGATCTAGATACTGATATATTAATCTGGTCTGAATCCCATCCTTACTGTATAAATATACAACTGTTGGTGAGTATCCATATATTAAAAACATCTGCAATAAAATGTGTTAAACCTCTGTTGTCCTCTTCATTAGCATTTGGACTGCTGATTTTCAGGTGAAGGACTGGGCCATGAGTTTCAAATACTACAGGTCTGATTAGTATTCAAACAGTAAGCAGACCAAGAAAAATATTTGCAGTGTAATGTAGCCATTTTGCTAGCCTTATCAAACACAAAGACTACTATGTGTTCTTAAGTAATGTCAGTAACTGCTTAATTTAGATCAGTGGGTGTTCCTGAATTAACTCTTGTCCTAGTACAGTCTCTGGGTTATTTCAGTTTATTTGGATTCTTCCAGTAGGTTTGGAGCTTGCTGATTTTTACTTCAGGTGGTTTCACCTTCTGGTCCTTTCCTTCTCTAGTACTTCCACAATGGTGAAAGTATGCAAAGGCTTTTGTCACTGTCTTTCCGATTTCTCACAGCTAGAAATATAGATCTTACTATGTAGAGTTCTTTCAGAGTCTTCATAAATCTCTTCAATGTTGCAGGCATGTGCAGTTATTAAAGTCATTCTAGGGGGAAAGCTGTTCCCCATTACATTGCAGAAATTTAGTTTAAGTTTGCAGCAAAGCTTAGAGAAAAAAAATAATTCTGTTTTAATAAAAGGTGTGACTTTGTCTTTGGTGCTTGTTATTAGCCCAAGTCACTTCAAAGAAAGAGTATTAAATGGTTGCTCCATAATGGTTTCTCTAAATTTAAAACTTCTCTAAGGCAACTGGAGACATTTTTGAAAATCTTTGATTATGTTTCAGTTCCAAATATGACTGAGATACTTAAGACACACAAGCAAAAAAATAGATCTAAAAAATGTCCTTATTTTTGCAATGGTTTACTAGAAGAAATATAAGCTGGAAAGTTCAGATGAAATTTAAGTAAATTCTGATATCTGTTTTTCCTCCCTATTTAGTTTGTGATGAAAAGTTTTGTCCTGAGCCTCCTATGAATTGCACAGATGACATGACACTTGTGAAGGAAAAAATACCTGGGAAGTGTTGTCCAGAATGGCACTGTGGTAATTACTTCATTCTTTAGTCACTGCTGTTAATAAAAACCAGCAATTAGCTAATTGACTAACATGCTTTTCTTGTTCTCAGAATGTAGTTGTGAAAATGCTACTACGATGACTTGCGAATTGGTAAGAGCTGTCCTTTAAATGCATTTTGAATGGTGGGCTGTGTTCTAACTCCTCCTTTTCCATTCTTTGTCAAATTAGTTGTAACAGGGCCCACCAGCCCCCAACTCAGGCATGAAGCTGCATGGCATGAAACTCCAGGTTTCTGCACAGTATTGTTTGATGTTCCTTGTGGAAATTTCAATCTGTGTGTTTTAGGATGTTTTAGGATGACAAAAGAAGAAGAGTAACTGTAATGCTATTCAGCCCAATGTTGACTCAAACCAATATGCTGGAATTTTCCCCACTTCAACAATTCATAAGTGTTTTTAATAATTAATAAGGGATGAACTTTTTGATCAAATGTGAATTTGGACAAATGCATTATTTGTTAATCATTTATACTTTCAGTTAGAATGATTTAGCATTATTGAATATAGCAGGTATGAGAAATCATAAATATTTTGTTCTTTGTAGACTCTCACAACTGGGACTGTGATCTGGAAAATAATTACAAATCAATGTTCAAACTCCTACTATTACTCTAGTGACAAGGGACAGTGTCCCTAGCAAATGCTAGTAGTTTATACTTCCCTTTATGTGAAGATTGCATAATGTAACATATATATATGAGCTACAGATTTTAACAGTTTTACCTCTCTTTTGGAAGAAAGTTTAGAGCAGGCATTCCTTTCCTGATATACTTATTATTGAAATAAATTTGTATCTCAGAAAAAAACCTGCTGTTTAGCCATTCTGCTGGTTAAACAGATGTCCTCTGCTCTTGTTTAAAAAGATAAATACATTGAGTAATTTGAAATGGGCTATTTTTTCTTGAGGTCACTGCAGTTTTTCTCTTTCATGGAAGAAGAGGCAGAAGCAATGAAGACCATAATTTAATTTTTTTGGAGAAAATCTCTCTTCTTGGCTTTACATTTATCTGTGTGTATCTTTTCAAACTTTTTTTTATCTTTTTATACTCAGGGAGAAGTTCAAAAAGTAGATAGTAGTATTTCCAGTGCTTGTGGATGCACTCACTACATTTGTGGTAACTTTTTATTATTCATATCTGCTTGGTTTTAGATTAAACTAAAAAAGGCATGCAAAGAAAACCAAAATAGGGCCATTATCACCTCAAATGTAAGCAATTTACATAGATAAATAATTATACTCTCATTTTTGAATTACGCTTTCTGTACTAACTCATCAGTTTTGTGGCTTACAGTGTGAGGCATAGGAAAGTATTTACAGTGTCCATGCTATTTATCTATCAATCAATCTATATATTTATGAATCCATCCATCCATGTGTGCTACTGATCTCAGTAAGCCAGAATGAGGGCATGTGCCCAATTTTAAAATTGCTCCTTTCCATATCTCAGCCACCTTGCGTGGAGGGGATTTCACCCACACAGTGCTCAAAAGTGTGTGAGGCATTCCTCAATGCCAGTTGTAGCTCAGGCTAAACTGCCTCTAGGAACAAAGCACAGATTTACATAATGGCTTGAACATAATAATGTCTCACAATTAATTGTAGGAGTACTATCTTAACGGACAGAAAGACAGAAAAATATTGCAGAATAACTCATGTAATGTAAGTGGTCTGATTTTAAATATCGTAACTGTAAAAAATAAAAGCAACCTTTTTTTTTTTTTTTTTTTTTTTTTTTTTTTAAATTCCAAAGAAGAAAAATTATAAATTTTTGGCAGTTATGCATTTTTTTAGCATTTCCTTGAGCTGAATTACACCCTCACATTCTTTTCCTGTTTGGTAATTTACACCACACACCGGTCAAGTCTAAAACTTGGAAGGTTTTTGCAGCATGTAGAACATTCCTTACTTCTGTTCTTACAGCTTTTCTGTTACTTTGTTTGGTGATGTTTTATTTCTTTCATAATATTTTTTTTCTTTTTGGTGTTAGAGAAGGATGATGTGTGCATCTTCCAAGAGGTAACTGTACTGAATCCTGGACAATCAGTGATTCAGTACTTGGATGGAGACCTTTGTTACACTGTGCAGTGTTTACAAGAAAAAGATCACAACACAGGATATAATGCCATGCTTTTTACAACAGTGAACTGTTCCCAGCAATGTGAAGCAGTAAGTATTCTTAGAACAGAGGAATTATGCAGTTAAATAAATAAAATTTCACAATTAAGATGAAAATCAGAAGGCACGTTTTTTGTTAGTCCAGTTTGCTCAGCAAGAGCTAAAAAAACTTAACAGCATCTTTTAAGTGTTTTTTAGCAGTGAACATAAATATATCCATCCATACATTGTTCATTTAGGTGTAGTTATTTTCAGAATTCAATGAATTTTCGTATTTTATATATATATAAACATACATATATGTGTATATTTAAAGCAACCTCTTTTTTTTTTTTTTTTCTTTTTTGGTTTTCCTTTTCTTTCAGCATCAGTTGTATATTCCTTCTTCCAGTCACCATACTTGCTGTGGTACCTGTCAAAATGTGTCCTGTTCTATTCTTACTGAGAATGGCACACAAATTGTGTATGAGGTAAATACCTCTGGAGAGGGACAGAAAATAAGTATAATAATACGATAAACACAGGAATCTGACTGTCACTTCCTTATGTGAGTCTTGCTTCAAACTTCCTTAGTGTTGCTTATGCAACTAGCAGCTGTCTGTGGTAAATTACGTAATAGGGAAAAGGTGTATTTATTTTTAGACTTGCCATTTCACAGTAGATGAATACCATGTTTCACTTTATTGGTTGTAATTATCTTCCACAAAAATGGGTGAATGTCAGCATTTATTTAAGGCCAGATAAGTGCAAAACAGAGATCTAATTGTAGCTCTAAGTCATATGCTGTGATTTAGATGACCTAGGAATACTTTGTGCTTCTGGATCCACATCAGGACTCCTGTGTTCCTCTCTTCCCATAGCCTCTCTTCTCCCTGCTGTGATTTTTACAAGCAAGTGTTCAAACTGAATCGCTGGGATTCAGGATCCTGATGGTGCACTCCAGCAACCACATACAGCGAAATTTAGGTGTTGCCATACCTTGCTTCATCCTTGCCATTGATTTTAGAGGTTTGAGGGCAAAATAAAGCGTAAGCCCTTTTTCTGATACAGATCCACTCTAGTACACTTAGTATCTCCATATAGGAGCCATTGCTGCAGTTACAGGATGGCTTTCCCTCAACTAGTGTGGACAGGTTTCAACAAACCTTACACTCCAGCACATACCTGCAGCACATAGGCATCACTTTTACAGACACTTGAGTTGAGATACAGATGAACTGTGTTGTCTTTGCTGACAATGGTTTTGTATTATGCATTTAGGAAGGCAGCACCTGGACATACAACTGCACAAACTACACATGTGCAAAGACTGTGCTGGGGGCTATGATAGTGGGCTCTGGTGTGGTCTGTCCCCCTTTCAATGACACTGAGTGCACAAAGGTTTGTACTTTGGCTGAGGTGAGTAACAATAACTCGTCTGTCAGCATGGACGCACTTGAAAGGGCACACATACTTTTTGTGTTTTCTTTAAACTTAAAAAAAGTGGTAAGTAAGAAGATGTAAGTGATAAATTTTTAGTCTTGTTTTCTAGTTTTCTGTTTGCATTTTGGCTAACAGGATCTGAGCGTGCAGAAACTATTTTCGGGCTTCAATACTGACTGCATTTAAAAATACTGTTGAATTGGAATTGTACTTGAGATATTGCTGTATTAAGTGCTAATCACTATGTACTACTTTACTTCAGAATAATATTTTGACAAGGTTTACATATATATTAAATAAATCAGATGAACCAGTTTGGAAATCTTATAAATGTGAACCACATTAAAAATTCCTTAAATGCAAGGATTAGAAGGCTGACTATGTATATAAACTTAATTATCCCTTACGTTAAAACACTGTATAATATTAAAAAAAAATGCTTATCATACTTGAAAGGATATCTATACTATACCATATATCTAAAAATGAAAATTTGGCACGCCCATATAAGCTAGTTTGAAGAATGTGGATATTTTGTGTACATTACAAATTCATTTAAAAAACTTTTACTTGCTTCTCTAACTTTGTAATACTTCTCACAATTCTAATTCTTACAATCGTGACATGCTGTATACAAACTATATAAACAAACAAACAAAAAACAATCAACAAACATGTAGAGAGGGTAAATACCAATCGTTTGAGTTGGAAGGGACATTTAAAGGTCATCTAGTCCAACTGCACTGCAGTGAACAGGGACACATACAGCTAGATCAAATTACTCACAGCCCCATCCACCTGACCTTAAATGTCTCCAAGGATGAGGCATCTACTACCTCTCTGGGCAACCTGTTCCAGTGCTTCACTACCCTTATTGTAAAAAGCTTCTTCCTTATATCCAATCTAAATCTCCCCTCTTCTGATTTGAAACAATACTCCCTTGTTCTGTCTCAGCAGACCCTGCTAAAACCTCTGTCCTCCTCTTCCTTATAGCCCCCTTTTATATACTGAAGGGCTACTATCATCTTTCTGGGACCTTTTCTTCTGGCTGAACAGCCTCAGCTCTCTGCCTGTCTTCAGAGGGGAGATGTTCCACCCCTTGAATCAGTTTATGGCCCTCCTCTGAACACACTCAAACAGGTCCATATCTATCCTGTACTGAAGACTCCATATCTGGACACAGTACTTTAAGTGAGGTCTCACCAGCACAGAGCAGAGGGACAGGATCACCTCCCTCAACCTGCTGACCACGCTACTTTTGATGCAGCCAAGTATACAGTTGGCTTTCTGGACTGCGAGGGCAACATTGCTGGCTCATGTCCAACTTGCCATCCACCAGTATCCTCAAGTCTCTGGCAGGCCTGTGCTCCATCCTTTCAGCTTATACAGATAATGGGGGTTGCAACAACTCTGATACAAGACCTTGCACTAGCTTTTGTTGAACCTCATGAAGTTCACCTGGTCTCACTGTTCAAGTTGGTCTAGGTCTCTCCAAATGGCATCCCATCCCTTGGGCATGCTGACCGCACCATGCAGCTTGGTGTCATCTACAAACTTGTTGAAGGTGCACTTGATCTCACTGTTGATGCAATTGATGGAGATATTAAAGTGCATTAGTCCTAGTGCAGACACGCTAGAGACTCCTCTCATTACTGATCTCCATGTGGACATTCAGCCACTGACCACCACTCTGTGAGCACACTCTCACAACCAGTTCCTCGTCCATCAAACAGTCCACCCATCAAGTCCATTCATTTCCAATTTGGAGAGAAGGACATTATGGAGACCATGTCAAAGGTCTTACTGAAGTCCTCTCTATCTATTCACTTGTTCACTGGCACAGAAGGCCACCAGAATGGTCAGGCAAGACTTGCACTTGGTTGTCTCTTATCACCTCCCTCTCTTTCATGTGTCTCAGTATAGATTCCAGGAGAATCTGTTCCATTTTCTTCCACAGTGCAGGTGTAAGGCTGACAGGTTGGAAGTTTCCTGAGTCTAAAGGATATCTTCTTCACTTGCTTACACTTTTAATATCTAACAAACAACTCTGGAAAAAAAAAGAAAAAAGAATATTATTGTATTGTATTTAAGAAAAATAATTTAGCATTTTCACCATTTCACATTTCATACCATTTCATACAGATGTGAAATTCTGCAATTCACCTTCTGTTTCAGAAGTCTGTATTTATGTGTATATATATGTATATATATATGTGTATAAATACCCACATATAATGTTCTAAATAGCTCTTTATTAGGAATTCACTCTCTGCTTGGTGTATGAGTGGTGTAAATCCTTTAATGTCATACACAAAGTTACAAGAATGATTTTCATTAACTTTCTGACTAAATCTCAGTGGTGGAGAAATAGATGATAGTACATGATATAAAAAGCTGTGTGTAGAAACTAAGTGATTTATTTGAAGGAGATTGGATCAGGTAAGATTAGTAGTGACAAGTTCATTTCCAGTGTTAAAAACTGAAGAATCTGTGAACCAAACCTTCATGTGATGAGTGTCTGTGTGATTGTCTTAATTCAGATTGTATCATTTTGTACTTGTCAGACATCTTTAAAACATGGCATCTCTTGAGGTACTACGCACTGTTGCATTGAGCACAGTCTTTTTTGATATATTCTCCTTTTATTTTCCTAGAATGGAGGAATTGTGCAGACGTACAATGATGGCTGCTGCAAGACCTGTAAGTGATGAAGGCTGCAATAAGTGCTAGTATAGCTTTGGTTTGGAGGGCTGTGTTTTTTAACTCCTCGCTGAGACAAAGATAAGGGAAAAGCATGCTGTTCCCCCCACAAATCAAATAAAATTATTATAGTTACTTAACAACTCTTATTAAAAGTTCTTGCTTTGTTTGGCTGCTGTCTTTGTGGTTTTTAACATTATTGTTCTGGAGTATAACCAATTTCTCCAAATATAATCTTTGGAAAATGAAAAATTACATCAATTAAAATACTGAAAAGATTACCTTTATTGCTCAGTAGACTGTGAAATATTGCCAGTATGATTTGCATCATAAAAGATAAGGATTTTCTTCCCTGAAATAAATTCTTAATTTGATTATCACTGTCCAAAAATACAAATTCATTCTGTTTTATCACAGTATATTTTCTCGGATCAGAATACTATAAAAATGAATACTGAAATAAAATATTTTTAATTGGAAATGTTTTCTTTCCACTGTAGAATATATATTGAAATCCCAAATGAGGAAAAGTTTTGGGGAGTTGAATAATATGAAAGTTCCCTAGACACATCCCTAGATAAATCCCTAGTTCCCTAGATAAATCCCTAGATACAAAATTGACTTTTTGGTATCTGGAAATGTATTCACTTTCTCTGAGTGTGTCACCTTAAAACATTCTTAATGAACTGTAATGCAAGTTTGCATAATATTGTCATAACAATATTTAAGTTGTTTACAACTTGTTTGCAAGTTTAAAAGCAAGCTGCAAGTGAACTCTGATTATCTCTTCAGTTTTGACTCGGAAAAGTTTTCTGATCAAGTTCTCTAATTATCTGTACTTAAAAAGAAAACTCAGTAATACGAAGCTAATATGAATATGAATATGAAATCATATGAAATATGAAATTAACTATGTAGTGCAAGAACTTGTTGAATGCCAGAGAAATTACTTTCTCCCTCTTTTGACCTTTCTGTGCTTAACATCAGAATTAGAACATTCAGAATAATTAGTCTTTGGGATTTTTTTTAAAGTAAATCTTTAGTTAATAATATTGAATAGGAAGACTTAATATTCATTTTTATCTGAAATAGAATTGATCAATGGTCTAGTTTCTATGCTTTGCAAAGCCTTGAAACAGATCTTGAAGCATTGTTATAATCTACAATATGCAAAACATCGAAAATTAAAGCACTTTTAATAAACAGAATGCTTTTCTTTTTTGTAATTACAATCAATAGAGAAAATTAACAGACCAGAATTGTGCTAAATGTTATACTTCAGAAATTCTTGCTCAAATGGCTGCTAAAAAAAGATATAATTTATACAATTATATGCTATTTTTTGTTGTTGTTGTTGTTGTTGTTTTAACTAAAAGCATGTGCCCAGTGGTGAACTGGATAAAAAGAGTATGTATAAATAGAGCTTGCAACACCTTGGGGTTTTAATGGGAGCAAATAGTCTTTCTGGAAGAGCTTGATTCGATGCATGCAAAGTGACTGCATATATTTAATTCTTACCTTGCCATAGAGAGTTGCAAAAGTTTGGTTTACAAGGAGGTATTCATTTTTATGTTTATCAGGAGAGTAATAAAGTTTAGGCTATCTTTAGTGAGACTTGAAGCAGCTACACAGTTCCTAAATTTGGAGGACTATCAGGAAAGCTCATCACCTTTTGCTAAAAGAAAAATTGCAGTTGGCAGTGTAAGAATTAATGAAATGTCATTTATATCAACATGTTTTTTTTTTTCATGAGAAACTTATATTCCTAATGGTTCTGCCAGGTTCTGGATTGGGTCTATTACCCTTTGCCATTAGTCCAGTAGTGCCTACGGGTAGTATTAATTGTGAACCAGGTATTATTTTTAATAATGTATTTTCTTAATTTAGTAATTTAGTAATTTAGTAAGCACTGCTTGTTTATATTACATATCTGTCATCACCACTAAATGCAACCATGCATTTAATGGCATTGGGCCTGATACTGAGAGATGCTGATATCCTGCTGCTTGCCTTTCAGATCAGTATTTTCTAAAGCTTGGTCAGGGTTCACTGCTCAGCACCTGTCAGGATTAGGTTCATTGATTTACAGTATATGTTGTGGGTGGTTCTTCCTCCTGTTCATTTCTTAAAATGATTTTAATACGTAAACTTACTGTACAGGGTAGCTATAACAAGAAATGATGTTACTGATAAAAATATTGTCATCCTAAGTAATGTTACTGTGAGATTTTCTGATCTCGTGTCTCTGAAGTTAATGTCTAAACTATTCTTGCCTTTAAATATAGCAAAAGTGCCCATTCCTGTCTGATTTTATCCTTGCAGATACAGATTTATGCTGTACTTGTCACAAATAAAATGTTTTCAAAGTAATGAAAATGTTGGGGGAAAAAAACCATGCAATCATAAGTATGATCATGTGTTAATAAATACTCCTCAAAATAGAATTCTTAGTGATTAGAGAACTGTTGCATTATGATAGCATTTCTTTCCTTCAATTGATAGAAAAGTTGCAGTAAGTGGAGTAGGATCCCTCACTCAAATAAGGAGCAAAGAAAGCAAGCACACCTGAACTGAGTGCAGATCTTTTTGACAGTTGAAGAGTGAAAAGTTTAGCAGCAGGGAAGTTTTCATTAGACTGGTACCTTATATGCTGAAATGTCATAAAATGTTGAATCATAGAACCACAGAATGGCTTGCGTTGGAAGGGACCTGAAAGCCCATCTAGTTCCAAGCCCCTGCTGTGAGGAGGGTTGCCAGCCACTGGCTTAGGCTGCCTAGAGCCTCATCCAGCCTGGCCTTGAATGCCTCCAGGGATGGGGCATCCAAAGCTTCTCTGTGCAGCCTCTGCCAGCACCTCACCACCCTCTGAAAAAAAATTTCTTCCTAATGTCTAATCTAAATCTCCCTTCTTTTTGCTTAAAACCATTTCCCCTTGTCCTATCATTATTAGATCATGTAAAGTCATTCCCAATCCTGCTTACAAGCTCTCTTTCCAGTACAAGAGGACCACATGAAGGTCTCCCCACAGCCTTCTTTTCCGCAAGCTGAAAAAGCTCCCTCAGCCTTTCTCTGTAGGAGAGACGTTCCAGAATTATCTCTCTATGACTTGTAGAAATACAAGGATCTTATAATCTACGCACATTTATGCTGGCAAATGCTTTCCAATGGAAAGGAATAATGGGAATTTTTTTTATGTCAAGTGCTGCTGAGGAAAGAGAATCAAAATAATACAGGTGTCATCATCTTCTAGTTTCACAGGAGAATCCAGTTTGATCCTGCAATGTTCAGATTAAACTCTGGTTGAATATCTTGGTTACTCAGAGCTCAACTAATCTTATAAAAATGCACAAAAGGATTCTGGAGGAGAGAAAAGTTGTCCTTTATTTGTTCAACTGACCACGCAGGCATGTGCTGATAATGGAGAGGCCCTATTGAACAGTGGTTATTCTTCTGTAGGCTGGATGCCCAGAATATAGATGATTTTGATGGTTACTGGAATTTGAGATCAAAACAATTTCTATTACATAGATATCAATACTAAATAGTCTGGTAGGGACTGCAGCATGGAAGACTTTATATTTATTTCAGTATTATATTATTATATTTTAATATACTATTATTATTATTTAATATATTATTATTATTTTAAATATGGATTTGTACTGTACAGCTTCATTCTTCAAACAACAAAAAAGATCTCCTATCAGTATCTCCCAGGATGTACTGAAAATGTAGTATTTTCATAAACCTATATCCTATAAATGCTACATAATTCAGTCCTGGGTAGTAAAAGCATGTAGCATGTAGCAAGTATTTTCATCTCTCACTTTCAAAGCTTTCTTCAGTGATCTATTTCTCCAAAGAATATTGAATTTTATTGTTCTGTTTAAATTTTAAGCATTCAAATTAGCATCAAAGCAGTAATCTCATTCACAGCTTTATCTTCTCAAATGTCAAGTTCAAGGAAGTGTAGTATCAAAATCATAATTTCAGTATTCCCATTAAAAACAGCATTAATTCTAATATTATTCAAAATTTATGCATCTTTCTCCTAATTACTATAATGCTTGCTATATGGGCAATTTTAAATCTTATTACTGTTTTCATGTTTATAAAATCTGTATAGCTTAATGCACCAGTTGATACTTCATGTGCCAGCTATAAATTGATAATTCCCCACAGGAATTTTTTATTAACATATGAGGATATATATATATATTTAATTACATAAGGAAGTAGTAATATCAGTATGTACATAAATAAAAATAGTGCATGATCATTAAAATTATTTGAATATTTTCATGCTTTTATTATAAAAAAATTGGTACAAATGCAAATCAGTTCAACGTGCATCTTTTTCCATATTTTATCAGGCAAAAAGGAAGAAAGGATTTGCCAGAAAATGACAATCAGGACAACCATAAGGAAAAATGACTGTATAAGTCAAAGCCCGGTAAGAATAAAAAAACCATTTTTCATGCTGGTCCTACGCCATGATCAAGTCAAGTATCAAGAAGTAGGCCATAGCTATCTACAAGCAACAAAAAATGTTGCTGTCTTCTCAAAAGCTGGCCTTTGACCTGATGAATGTTATTCTACTTGTAAAAGGAATTAAATCAGCTGTTCCTGTGGCTGGAAGAGTGAGCCCTCCTCCCTGGCTTCAAATGAAAAGTACACAGAGTATTTGCACAAGTACACTAAACTCTTCCCCATGAAATAACATCCCATTCTAAAAGAGTAGTAGAAATGTGTCCCATTACAGTGTGATGGTAAATGGGCTACACTCCCCCTTAAAGAACTTTACTCTCTGGGTGTCATCTCCTCCACACTGCATGTCTCCGTATCATAAACTCACAGTTACCTTTACTTTGTTATCTATTTAAGGCATCTTATTTTTCAACTTTGATTTATTTCTGTCTATAAAACCCAGGACTGGTCTGATAAGAATGTAACACTTAAAAGAGAAGCAGTTGACACAATGTCTTGGGACTTCTGAAAGGCCTGCAATGAGATTTTACTGAAAAACCTTAATAGTCTTAATAGGAGAGGCAACACAGTCACAGATTGAAAGCTGGGCAGGTTGATTTCCAGCCTGATAGAAGGAAAACATAGATAAGGCTTCATTACAGTAATAAGAGTGTGTTCTGTATTTATTTAGTTTTAGAACAGTAAATATTGAGGGAGTATAATGAGAGAGATTATTAATGACTAGGGCAAGATCTAAGGAAGTTATTTTTCTGCTCTCAAGTTTGATGAAAGCTACAAGACTAACCTGTTGACCTAATTTCTTTGGATAAGGCCCTTCTGTTGAAGTGCTGCTTGAAGAGAGTGCATCAGAGAGTACATAGGCTTCATTTCAGTACATCAGTACATTTCATAGGCTTCATTTGCATAAGAAATTAAATGAAAACAATATCACAAAAAAAACCTAGGTCTAGTATAATCACTTCTGATTTCCTAGCATATCAACATTTGTTGAAGTTCTAATGAAAACTGCCAATCTACCAATTTCTGCTACAGTATTGGCTAGGAAGACTTCACATAATGTTGTATGAGAGAAAGCTTGTGCCTGCTTTAGTGTAGTGCACAAATAATTTTATAGCCAACTTCTTCCCTTGCTGGATTGTTACATCTACTTTCTGGATGTATTTGTTACAGTGATGACACAACTTATGTTGCACCCTTAGTTGCAAGCACTATGAGTACAAAAGGAAAATGCTTTTGCACTATTACACTTTTCCTCTTGAACCTTAAAAGAGGGTGACAGATTATCCTTTGTTTTCCTTACAAGAATATAACTTTTCAGCAGTGAACATGAAATGAATGTTAATTTAGCTACAATGTTTTGATGTTATTCATCAGTAAAGTAAGGATTCAGTTTTGTTATCCACAGCACAAAGATGAGCTTGCTCCAAGCTAAGAAAGAGCGCATGATTAAATAATGAAAAACAGATGATTTCACATAAACTGTACTTAAAAAATGTATCTCCATTTGAATGAATTTTAAAAGTTAACTTTTAAGATCAGAGTTCTTTTCAAATGTAAAAATTGATCTTAATCAGAAAGAAGTTTGGAATGTTACATCCTGAAACAAATCCTAAGATGTCTAATTCCAATTCTTTATTTATTCGTAGATAAATGTGGCTTCTTGTGATGGAAAATGCCCCTCTGCAACAATTTTCAATGTCAATATTGATAGTCATTTAAGATTCTGTAAATGTTGTCGAGAACATGGAACGCGCAATCTGACCGTGCCTCTACACTGCTCAGGAAACGGCACTGAAATTATGTATGTCATTCAAGAGCCTGTAGACTGTTCATGCCAATGGAACTGAACATTACTGTGAACATGATTTTGTTTGAAGAACTGAAATGAGTTTCCTTTCACCAGAGCATATTTTCTGACCTTGGATGGATGTAGTACTCTACAAAAAGAATATGATATCAAGGATGCTTTATAATGTAACTTTTCTGAAATTAAGTAGAGATTACCTTGTTTTTCAAATTTCATTTTTAAGTATCAGCATGTATAAAAATAAACATATAAAACCTTTTTTACAAGGTGTAATTTAGGTGTCATTTACTTTTCAACAGCTTTCTGATGAGCTGTTGATGTCTTTGTTTCGTGTTTTCAACTTGTACTTACTTGTTAAATTTCAGAATTTATAAGTGTTTCTGTCACTTTCAGTGTTTCAGTGTTTCAGTGGTTGGATTTTCTGTTGAGGACCATCATCGGAACTAATATTCAAAAGCAGAAGATGCATATAGTGCTTTTGAGAATGATTGAATTAATGTATTAAAAAATATGAAAAAAACATTCAATGCAAAAATTTTTTTGTCTTGCTGAAAGATCTGCCTTTTGTCTGTTAAACTGTTGACAGTGACTGGACTCTGCTTAAGCTAGAAGTCACAAGACACAAAACAACTATGGTCTATAAGTAGTTTTATTTCTAGAGTAATAATGTCTTTAAATCATTGCCATTTATTTAATTTTGGCAAATAGTAAAAATGCTAAGCTTGACTAAGTAAGGGTTGAAGTGTTCAAACATTTCTGTCTTTATTACAAACAACGCTCTTTCTGATATGAAGAAAATTTTTTTTTATCATTTTTTTCAAATAAGATATTGACTGTCTGCTTCCTAAATATAGAATAAAGTTCTATGTATATACATATTTATTTTTAAAAGAAGGAGACTGCACATTTTAATTTTTCATAATGTGTTTCCTCCTTTGTTTGACAGTTTGAAATTTTTTGTCCAATAACCATTGCTTTCTTTTAAGTATAGAAATTTGGAGTACTGACTGAATCTAGGATTTATTTTTGTGTACAGGAAGAAAAGCCTCCATGTGAAGTATCTTTTGAAGAGCCTAAATGTGCTATTACCATTCATTCAGATTGTGAGTCTCCATGATTCAGCACCTTAAACTGAATATGCTTTCACTTTTAACAAAAATACCATGTCATCTTATTGTAAAAGCTAAGAACACAATTTTAGGCTTGTCTTTGGAAGACTACTTTGCTTCATAAAGTCACTGAATGGATCATGGCTTAAATGATGACAGAGGAATCTGGCCATTGACCACAGTGGGTTCAGTATGGTCCTTAATACGTAAATGATTTCAGAATTATATTTCTTGATTAAAACTTTGAGAACTTTTGGTGAACTGTTTTTATTTCAGGCTGTCATAATCTACTTACAGAAAGATTAGATTATTACATTGTTTTATACAGTGAAAAATAAGAAATATAACAACATTGAAATCTAAGGCTATTTTGCAATTTTGTGTGAAAAATCTTCAGACTTTTGCTATCTACAGTTTGATTGCTTATGAAAAAAACAGTATATGCACTGAAATCAGTCTTTACTAACAAGACTCAGTGTACTCATCCATCTCATTAAAAATAGTGACCTGCTCTAAAAATGAAAGAATAATCCATTGAATTGTCAGTAAAATGTTTAGGAATTAGAACGGTACAGTGATCAACTAGTGATTGTTTTTTTGTTTTTGTTTTTTGAAAGTATATGCTTTATTTGCACTTTGTATGACTTGATGGCAGATATGTCAAGATATTGTATACTAAGGTCTGGAACCAAAACCTTTTTGACATTTCTGTAGGAATTTGCGTACAGAAAGTTTTCATAGAGGACAGAAATGGAAAATAAATCATTGTCGTAGCTGTTAAATTTGTGTACTCATACAACAAATTTTACAAATTCCTGGAACTTCTTGGTTTATTAAAATGGAGATGGGAATCCTCTGTTTACTTCAAGAAAGACTGCCCCAAAACTTCTTAATGAATTTAGCATTTGAAAATGGAATGAAGAAAGCTCCTACAAGATGTCACTTTTAGACACAATGACCAAACACTTGCTGTAGTTTGATTAAACACTGCTTTCTATAAACAGCGTGCTTTTGTTAGCTTTAGAATCATATTTGTAATTAAAGATAAATTGATAAGCATAAATTGATGTGTTTCATTTACCTGTATCACTAAGGATGAACAATAGTATAGAATCTTAGATTAACCTAGAATTAAAAACAGGTAAAGTTAAATTTAACTCAATGATATCAAAGAAAAATGATATTAAAAGATTTTTCCCACTTAGCCATTTTATTTTTTAGAAGATCAATAGCAGTTGGGTCACGATCCTCCCTGAAGCATAAAGCAAAACCTTTATGACTTTGGTGGAGCTGAATAGAGTCTAAGGCTGCCTTTTACAGCTAAACTTCAGATTCAGATGTATTTGGCCTTGTCAGAGAATACATGCCTATTTTCTGGACAGTCATCCACCCACATGATCTCCAAAAAAGTGAAATTTGCCTAATGTGGTATATTTTACATAACATAATATGAATTAACCCTTGCAGCCTTTGAAACCGACATCAGATTGGAATGCCTGCAGATATCTTCTCAGCCTGTAACTTAAATATAAATGTAGACACAACTAAATGGTTATATCAAAATTTCCTCGTTTCCAACTCTGCATTCCTACCTCAGTCTCCCACACAGGAATTATGCACAACTTGCTTTGTGCTGTGAACTGGTTTTAACAGCTGATACAACTCAAACATAATCTAGTTTCACTCCGCAATTAATTAGATCGTTTATTATTGACTAAAAGAGCTTTAATATCCGCAGAGTTCCCTCCCTTCCACCCCTTCTTAAATAAGACTTGAATAATTTCTACTCCCCTACAAGCAAGACTGGGAATGCATACCTTTCTCTGACTCCCACACTTCCACAAGAAGATGCAAAGAATTGGAAAGCATTCTGTGCATGACCTGCTGCGTGCCTTACTCTGCTGTCCCAACGTGCCTTGTCATTTCAACCCTTTGTAACTGCCAGAAGGGTAGTTGTGCTATATGCACACAATTATGCTATTTTTAATGTATTCTGTGACCATTTAGTTTGGAAATAAATGATATCTATCATCATATTATATTGATTCAATTTCAAAGAGCAGAGTAGACAGATAGTTTTCTTTTAAAAGCATTGAGTTCAGAATGACAGGGGGCACTGCAAGAAGTTTACCTCCAGATTCAGCCTACAAACAAGAGAGGAGTCAATCTTTTACAAGGGTAGATAATGGCAGGATAAGGGGAAATGGTTTTAAACTGAAGGAGGGAAGATCTAGGTTGGATACCAGGGGGAAGTTTTTTACCAAGAGAATGGTGATGCACTGGAACAGGCTGCCCAGAGATGTTGTGGATGCCCTGTCCCTAGAGGAGTTCAAGGCCAGACTGGATGGAGTCCTGGGCAGCCTGATCTAGTATTAAGTGTAGAGGTTGGTGGTCCTGCATGCATCAGGGGGGTTGCAGCTTCATGATCCTTGAGGTCTCTTCCAGCCGGGCAATCCTATGACTCTATGACTGGATGATTGTGTGATTCATTACTTCAAATTTGGTCAAAAGCTTTTGTCTGAGTTTTTGTCTGCTCTTGCAGATTTTGGGAAATAAATAATGTCTATTTCTCTTCTGGCACTAACCTCTGTGTTTCACAGACAGGATGATGTAGGAAGCCAGTATTGAACTGAGCAGAAATGCGTAGATTCTGAGACCACCTTTATTCCTAACTGGTCCCATTGCATCCCTTTTCACACAATCTAGTTAAAATTTTCTGTAAGTCTAGCCAATTGGAAAGATTAAATTCATTAATTAAGCTAAGTTGCTTTGATTGTATTTGCTACTAATACTTTCCACAGACATACTCTGAAACTCTGTAATGTTTTGTTGGGAAGTATTTTCTCCAAGAAAACCACAGCCAGAACCCTGGGAGCAAGTATTGCACCTCGCACATGTTTATTTATGAAGCCTCAAACGTACAGCTGCAGCATGGAGGGAGAGCTGAGGAACACCCGCTGCCAGTATGTGATATACTCTTTCAAGATTGAGAAACCCTTTAGCATTCACACAATCCTGACTTTTGTCAAGTTGCATGTAATGTTGGGCTTTCCATGCCGCCGAGGTGTGGCCTTGCCCAGATCATTGGGATGGGCGCCATTGCTTCCCTTCAGACAGGTGGAATCCGGGCAGCAGAGCCGCACAGCGGAGAGCAGGAAGCAAGTGGCCAGTGTCAGGTGTGAGCCTCTGCAACGTCCCAGCTGAGTGTGAGGGGACCTGAAGGGGATCTGGAAGCTGGTGTTTTATTTTTTTTTGCCACAAATGCTCACGACTTGGTGACATTTCGGAGATAGCACTTTGATGCATTACTGACTGGATGTTGAAGGAGGCCTCCAGCAAACAGGCTGGGTTTGTGTGAGGGAGGAGATCTGTTTCGAGAAGTAGGAGCTTACGTGTTCTGTATGCAGTTCCACACCTGCTCATGCAGTTCCCTGTGAAATCTTACCATGCACCTGTCTTTTGATGACCAATTTTTAACAGAAATTGTCACAAATTCATAATGTTTATATCAGTTCTAGGATACACTAGAAGCATGTTGACGGAAATTTCTCCAGGGCTGCCTGGCATTTCTTTGAAAACAGTTTTAAGGCTTACAGCCTTATTTTTAGCATTGACCAAGACACAGCTTGCTAGAAATATGTACTGTGTAAAGTAGTTTTAAGAAGATGTGAGGACTTCTGTGGGTTTAGATGGATTTTAATCCTTGAACCAGTAGTTAAAAAAAAAGAAAAAAAAAAAAAAAAGAACAACCTGACATTTTTGTCTCTGAGGGTTTTTTATTGGCTAACGAATAACATACACCTTCAGCTTTCACTGAGACAGTAAAGAGCAACATCCCTTTGTGGATGCTGAAAGGTCTGTGTCAGGCGGGGGAAGGGGCAGGGAGAGCAGAGCCAAGCCAAGGGCTGGCCATTGGCTGCAGCTGCAACCATGTCAGGCAGGAGTGGGTGTCAGTTTTCTCTTATTCTTAAGTGCCTGAGCACAAGTTTGTTTTAAAGCTGTTGTAATTTGAACACAGGCACTGGGAATATAACATTTCTTTATGGGTCAAGCAATTGTTCTCCTGCTTTTATTAAAATACTTTTTACAGGTAAGAAAAATATTCCATTCTTGGTAGGTAGACAGATTGAATGTTACATTTCATGGTTTGTGATTTGAACTGATTTCTTGTCACTTTGACAGTTGTGGGGAGCTCTTGTTTATCACTGCTGAACATTCCCAGCCTTCTCTCTTCTCTCTGAATTGTTCAAAGCTCTTTTGAAAGCCTTCATCTGTCCTGCTGCCTGCTGCTTCTGATTAGTGCTATTCCTCAGCAGAAGGAACGGCTCCCAGTGTCTTTAACTTCTTAACTAGCTCGTATTGCTTGGAAGCCCTCTGGTCTGAGGAGGAACACACTGTGATCATTCTGGTACACAGGGGTGAGCTCTGCATACTGCTTTAGGAAGTATACAAACTTACGAAGTATAAAAACTATGTATATAAGAACTACATTGCTCTCTTACCTCTCAATTTTCTATTACACTTTGCAGGAATTTGGTCCATATTTATCTATATTTTGATTTTGCATATGCAGTCTTGAATTTTCTTTCTGTGTTTTGTGACAAGGATGATGACAATGTCCTGTCAGTCCCATGTACAAATACTTCTCCACTCCTGTAGGGAAGAAAGCTGTGTGTTTGGGGTGGTAAGCAGCCTCCTGATGTATTCCTTCAGCACATGCAGATGGTGTCCAGTTGTGCTGTTCAGGTTTGAGCTCAAGATGAGGTGTTTTGGGGACTTCCTGATGTTGCAGTCAGTAATCTGCAGCAAGTAGGGATATGTGCTGTTGAGAGTACTGTCAAAACTTCAGCTAGTTCAGTATCAAACCTCCAGCAGTGGTGAAAAGCAGGTCTTTGGGGATGACTGTAAGATCTGTGTGGAGCATGAGAACTGTGTATAGCATGTTAGTTTCCCACTATTTGCAGCTTAACATGGATGTAGTTTTAGTGCATTTAGTGAACTGTAGTGTAACTCTCTTCCATTAGCTAGTCCAGCCTTCTTTGAAGCTTTCAACGCTTGTTGAAAACTTTGGCAAGGAGTTCTGCAGATCAGTTATCTGGTGCATTGCTTTTTGCTTGGTTGAGTCTGGACTGTACCAGCTGTGTTTTTTTCCTTCACAGTTCTTGTGCTGAGAGAGACAAGGGAAAAGCAATCTCTGCTCACTTATGGCTACATAAGATTTTATAGACCTCTGTTGTTTCCCCTTGTCACTTTTCATTGAAAAGTTTACATTTGTCATTTGTAAAGTAGTAGTCTACAGAAGTCAATAAATATTTGCTTAGAAAGGCACCTTTTTAGTTAGTGTGCAGCTAGCCTAAACATATATTTAAACATTATTTCTTCGTGGCCCATTTAAAATCTTTCTTAAAATTTCTTTGGATTGGAGCTTAAAATGTACTCATAAGGTATGGTCAAGAAAATTGAACATTCTTAAGTTCCCTCATCAAATACATGGAAACACTAAATACGCAAAGTACACTCGCAATTTTTATCATTAGTTGTAGTCCACCAGTATAGTATGTATGTGTAATAAAAATAACATAGAATATTGTGAGAAATAGTGGGAAACCATTAAAATGGCTAAATCACCTATTGGTAATTATATGGGTTTTTTTTAAATATCTTTCAAAGCAAAATGTCCTACCCTTCAGACTGCACTGCCTTGTATTTTAGTGGTATACTGATTCAATTCCTGCTTTTTTTTTTTTTTTTAGTAGAGGAAGGGGAAGGGAAGGGTGTGTGTTGTTTTTTTTTTTTCTAAACGATGGCATTTATGGCGTTTATTTGTCATCCTAACTCATAAAGAAAATAAAAATGGAACTTAAGACATAGAAAGAACTGCAAAACTTATATAATTATGTGATAGGGATTGACATCACATGCCCAAATTTCCTTAATTTTAGAAATTCTGAAGTTTGTATTGCTGTGTATAAACTGGATAGGCAGGTGTAAAATGAATAATTTCTCTATCCCTTTTGTGTTGCTTTTTCTTATTCTGTGATATAAAGCAGTTTGTGAGAGGAATGCCACTAACCTAAATTACTGGCCGTGGACCATGGGAACAGGCAGAGCTGAGGCCTTCCACTCCTCAATGACTGTTGAGTGTGGCTGCAATTTGCTCATTAAAAGTGAGCTCTCCTTGTTCCTGAAATGATAATATAAGGCCTGCTCTGGGAGTAATGACTCCTATTTGATTATGTTGGCCTTTGACATCAGAGGTGGATGTTGGTGGTACAGCAGTAGAAGTTGAACCTTCCCACCAATATTCCATTATATTTTGTTGCCATGTGACAGATGACAGCAGAGGGGCAATCTGACACAATGGCATCTGACATGGAAGTGTAGATGAAGCAAAGGTGTGTCACTAAATTCTGACACTGACAAAAATGCATAGCTAATGGCAGTGACTGTTGAAAAAGGGCAAATTCTCAGCTACAGAAAAATTCTATCAAATAGTGTTGTTGTGCTCTTGGTAGCTGTTGTCGTTTCCATGGAAATAGAAGGCATGACTTACAGAACAACCTGTGAAGATCTTTATTCCTAGTAGGGCATGCTTGACTCTCAGCTGGCATGGTTTGGCCACCTCTGAAAAGAGAATAAAAATAGCACCTGTACCTCCTAAACTCGTAAAAATTAAGAAGACTCTGTGTGTCACACAGTAGGGCTGATAATATTGCTCCATATAAAAACTAATACAGCTGACAAGTTTACCTAACAGAGATTTTAATTAAGTAACTAAACATATTTTTTTCGGCTAAGGTTGTTAAGTTGCGTTCACGTCTGTTTCTATTACAGGGCTCGGAGTGCCTAGTCTGTGATCAAGTGAGAAAGCCTTCTAGAGCAGTTTTGTTGGAGTGGATGGGATTTCCCAAAGGAGAACATGCAGAATATTACATTGTAACCTACCAGCTCACAGATGCTTTCAATCAAAAAGTAAATTTCATCTAAACATGAAGTACTTGGAGGGATATTTAAGTTGCACTGCATTTTTTTTTTTTTTAAATTTAAGATTAATGTAAAAAAGCAAATAAAGAGAAACTTTTCAAAAATTATGCTAAATTCTGTAATTCGTGCCTTACAGAGTCCATTTGAAGCCAACGGCATTGAATAAGAATAGATGGACGTACGTTCAAAGTTAGAATATGTTAGTTCAAAGTTCTTTGGTTGGAAGGAGAAGTCCAGTTTCTGCGGGGGAGATACAAACACCACCTCCAGATCCTTGTTGCGGGACATTGTTCTTTTTTTGAGCACAGGATGTCCTGGAACTTACAGAAGATATGGGGATTTTAATATAGATACAGTTAATAGCTGGAATGATCAAAACCGATTTTGCTATACATGCCTTGAGTATTTTGCAGTTAACTGGCCTTAAGTTGCACATAATGCAGTGTTAGATGAACATTTGAAGGCATTAGAGAACATTTATTAATTGTATTTTCTTACTTTCACTGTATTTTAACATTCTTTTAAATTGCAGAATGTAAGAAACATTTCTGAAGTTGAGCAAAAGCCTATCAGTACTACAGTTCTGCTGGAGGAAAATAAGCATTATGACATTACAATAGAATCCCTAAAAAATGGACAAATTCTAAGTGTAAAGTCATTCAAGACACGTAAGTAGTGTAGCACTAAATATTTTTGTATTATTATACTGAGAGTAGTTCAGAAAAAGATTAGAGAGAAACAAATGGAAATCCTGAGAGTATTCAAGTATCTAGAAAACTTCATCAAGGCGTGTTTTCAAATAAGAAGAGCAGAAAAAACAATTTTTCTATAACTTGTTTGATTAGTGTAACAGTTCTGTAGTAGGGGACTGATGTAGATGTTTGGGGATTTCTAAATGTTACAAGCATTGTTATACTGAAGTAATTCTGGGAAAAATTTATAAAAGACAGCCATCAGGTAAGTTACTTACAGCCTGGGAATTTCATGCCAGCTCAAGGTTTTGATTCCTTGTCTTAGTTATAAAAAATAAATATATGAATTGAATATTTAATATTTTTGTTTCCATTTTTTCCCTCTAAAAAATGTTATTGAGCAGCTTAAAGATCTTGCTATAGTGACTGACTGGGGCAAATGTTCAGTAAAAGAATAAGAGAAAAGAGTAAGAATTTGTGTGTCTAGCAACTGAACTTAAGCACATCATTTATATCTGCAGATCTGTTTATGATCACAGGTCTTGCTAATAAATAGAATTGAAAGGACTTTCTAACCTTGATTTTATTAGTTGCTTTAAAATAGTTTAATAGGATACCTTAGTACACTTTAGAAATTTGTATTAGCTTGTGTTCAGAAAATTGGGAAAAAATTGTTGTAAGCTGGAAACACTGCAGCACCCACTGACTGTGATGACATTCAGCAGTCTAAAGGAAACTGCTTGTGCTAATGTTCTTGATCAACATCTATTAATTACTACTCTAGTAAATTGTGTGCTTTTGTACTTAAGCGTCCCTCAGTCTATGCTCTTAACTTTTATTTATGATTGCTTAAGATATATTACACAGACATGTAGTGATGCAGTAAGGATTTGAGTCAATAATTATGCTGAGGTAAAAACTTTTTCTTTTTTTTTGGACTACTAGGTGGAATTTCAGAAAATGACATCAAAATACTTGTGACAGCCACTACCATATCTTTTAATTTGAGTGCAATGACCAAAGGATTTGCAGTTTCAGTTTCACTGAACAATACTTCTCGGATTATACCAAAAAATAGTGGATTCTTTGTCTGGAATGATTTGACACCTGGCACCTTATATACATTTGAGTTTATATTTTACCAATTACATCTTGAATTTATTAACGTGTCTCAGTCACTGGAAGTTCAAGCTGAAACAGGTATTCATTGCTTTGTTGGAGTCGCAATCAATGCGAGGAAGTGCTGCCTGCTTTTAAGAAGAATTAGGAGTAAATTGCAAAGAATCTGTATAGCATTATGCAATTTTCTCTTAGATGTATATTGTTTCATTTCTGGAAAAAATGAAACAACGTTAATGTCACAAATGTTCTTTTTTCTTGTTCAGGAGCAAGAATTTGAATTTGTATGTGTGAATATTTTAAACTAATTATATGTTTTGCAGTTTAAAATAGACTCAGATGGATTCTTGTCCAATAGGACTAGAGGCAGTGGCCTCAAGTTGCACCAGACAAAGTTCAGGATGAATATTAGGAAGAATTTTTTTTCTCTGAAAAAGTAGTTAGACATTGGAAGAGGTTGCCCATGGAAGGGGTGGAGTCACTGTCCCTGGAGGTGTTTAAGGAAAGGGTAGATGCTGTATGTAGAGACACGGTTTAGTGGGCAGTACTGGTGGTAGATAAATGATTGGACTAGGTGATCGTAGAGGTCTTTTCCAACCTTGGTAATTCTGTGATTCTAGATTAGATGAGATTTGTCTTTAAACACAAAAGGTTTGGGATTGTAATTTTTTGAGGATATGGATTGAGTTTGTTAGATAGTTTCAATGAAAAGCAGGGAAAATTCTGAATTTTGTAAGGGTTTGGAAGACTTTTTTCAAAGTGTTTTGGAAACAACAGTGATATTGCACTGTTGAGTGGCAAACTTATCTGTGCTGTTTTGTAAGAAATGCATTGGAGGAGTAATATTTTTGCGGATGCTTGATAGTGTTACTTTGCTCCTTTCAAAGCAGTAATGCTTTGATCAGGCTACTTAAAAATATTTAAAATTGGGAACACAAAAGAGAGGATGATATAGTTTTAAAATCAGGGAAATGATCACTTACCTAAACTCTGGAAATTTATTAATGGTTTGTTAACTTCAAATTTTAAAATGTAAAAAACAAACCAGAAACTAATGAAGAATGATATTTTTCACAGAAATATAAAATCATAGAACCTTTTGAGTTGAAAGGGATTCTTAAAGTTCATCTAGTGCAACTGTCCTGCACTGAACAGGGACACCTACAGCTATATCAGGAGCTCGAAGCCCCATCCAGCCTGACCTTGAATGTCTCCAAGGATGGGGTGTCCGCCACCTCTGGGCAGACTGTTCCAGTGTGTCACTACACTTATTTTAAGAAGCTTCTTCCTTATATCCAGCCTAAATCTCCCCTCTTCTATTTTGAAACCATTTTCCCTTGTCCTGTCACAACAAACAGTGCTGAAGACTCCATTTTCCAACCTCAGTGCTTGGAAATGATTCTGTTATACCAAATGAGGTGGTTAGTATGATTCTAGATTAGATGAAATTGTACTTTAGGGTTAGGGTTAGACTGTGCTAAAGGCTCTGTTCCCTTCCTTTTTACAGCCTCCCCTTCAGATACTGAATGGCCTCTGTCGGGTCTCCTAGAGCCTTTTCTTCAGGCTGAACAGCCCCAGCTCTCTCACACTGTCCTCATAGGGGTGTTATTCCTATGCCTTGGATCGATTTTGTGGCCCTCCTTTGAATGCGATTAGCATAAACAATATTGGTTTTCTTTTTTTGCTTTAGTGGATTAAAGGTAATCATCTTTTAATTTAATCAGAATTCTTAGGACAGTGAAGATTTTGAGTGAGGGATGTCTCACAGAATTGTAGAGGTTGGAAGGGACCTCTAGAGATCATCGAGACCAACCCCCCTGCCAAAGCAGGTTACCTAAACCAGGTAGGCGTCCAGGTGAGACTTGAACATCTCCAGAGAAGGAGACTCCACCACCGCCCTGGGCAGCCTGTTCCAGTGCTCTGTCACCTCACTGTAAAGAAGTTCTTGTGCACATTTGTGCAGAACTTCCTATGCTGCAGCTTATGTCCGTTTCCCCTTGTCCTGTCTCCACTCACCACTGAAAAGAGACTGGCCTCACCACTATGGCCCCCACACCTCAGATATTTATAAACCTGGATTAGATCCCCTCTCAGTCGTCTTTTCTCAAGGCGAAATAGACCCAGTTCACTTAGCCCAGGGGAGATGCTTCAGGCCCTTCACCTTCTCACTTTCACGTCACATTATTAAAGATTTTCTCTTGTGGTTTGCAATCATGTTTTAATTAAATGCTATCATCTTCTGACTATATGTAGATTTTTAAAAAATCTGAAACTGTAACAATACTGTAAATGATACTGAATGTGTTTCAAATACTTAAAATGCTTGTTTACCTACAGGCACCTGCTCCAAAGGGTGGCTGGCATTCCAAAGCAGCTGCTATAGAATGAGTAAGGAGAGCAAGCCATGGAAGGTGGCACAAGAAACATGTGAAAATTCTTCACAAGAGGCTCATCTTCTTGACATAGGGAGTGAAGAAGAACGTGGTTTTATTTTATCTTACCTGCAGTCAGTTAGCCACGTAGTCATGTTATGGACAGGTCTTAATGACTTGAAGGTCAGTCTGTTTCATCTTTTTTTCCAATTACATATATGGAGGAAAGAAATCTGTAATGTGTTGTACCCGGTTCATTAAAATCAAAAATACTTTGCTCTATTTGTTTGAATAGTTGTCATAGGAATAGCATTAGTATTGATATTAGTATATTGGCAGTTGTAAGAGGAATAATTATTTCCAATGTTTAGAAATACTGAAATCATTTAGCATGGCATTGCAGGGGAAAAAAATAAAGACTATTTATTCCTAGCCTTTTTTTTTTTTTTTTTTTTTTTTTTTTTGGGTGTGTGAGTACATCGTAAGAATGTCCTTTTGCCTGTAGATGGTGCTGTTTTACCATTAAAAAAAAATGAAATCGTTTTACACATTGTCCGTTACTTAATTGGGTACCAAAGCCTAGGGTTGGCTATGCAGTTCTGAGATACTGATTTGCCCTGCCTTAGCAAGGTCTGTACAGTATGGATGCTGGATAGGCCAGTGGAAGAAGGGACTGGCAGAAAGTATTTCATATAAAAAGTTTCCCCATATCCGTGATAGGAAAGTTCTTGATGCCAGCTCTCTTGTTACTAAATGACCCATTGTGACCACTGTGATGGATTGTGTGATTTGGGAAGAACTACAATGGTAAATGGAAGTATTGAGAAAAGTCTGAGAAATTATTTGATTAATAGTGATTTTTAAAGGGTTGTCTGTAATGAGCAATCTCACTAACTCTTTTTGGCTTTTATTAAAATATTAGTATAATAGGAGGGGTAGAATTCTGCATTGGAATATTTTTCATTCAAAACATTCCCATATAATTAATTTTAGAAATAAAATATGTAAATTTTGGATGTTCAGGAGACATGCTTACTATGAGAAACTTTTAGTAATGACTTAACATGCAAGTGCAAAAATACATGTATATGTTTGTTTGTTTTTCTTGCATTTTTTTTTAACGTAGGAGGAAGGTCGGCTCTTGTGGACAGATGGATCTCATTATTCCCTAAAGGCTGATGTCTCACCTTTGTCGATGCTACCAGCAAATGAAACAGACTGCTATGCCCTTCAGAGAGATCCCACTGGTCCAGGCTATTTCTTCACCGGATTTTTCTGCTTTATACAGCTACCATATATTTGTGAATATGAATGTAACTATATTTCTTCCAATCTTCTGCATTAATTTTAAACTCCCACCCCTTCATCTTCAAAAATACAAATGTGAAGAAAGCGTCCATGATATTTAATGGCTTTTTATTTTTATGTTTATTTTTATTTTTTTCAGTACCTCTGATACCAGAAAACTCCATATTCACTGTTTCTGATGTCAAGACAACTGAAGTTGCATTTATGTGGAGTTATATGGATATCTGGCTTAAGTCAGGCTTTGCACTCGTGATGAAGTACTATTTTGATCATTTGAAACCACACAGCCTGAGCTTGCCTGTGAATACAACTCAAGTGAAAATTGTGCAATTGTGTCCTGGTCTTTGCTATAAGTTTTTACTAGTGGCAAGGAACCCTGAAGGGGCACAGGCTATCTTAAGTCCCATTCTGAAGGTAGAAACAAGTAAGTCACAAAAATGAATAGCAATAATAATCACAAAATCATACGTTTTTTATATTGTTTGGTTGTTATTATTTGTATTGATAATTAGTCTGAAATTAGAAATAAATCTGAATGTGAATTCAGAATCCAACAAGCAGGATTCATTGTTCCAAAATCTTTATTTTGCTATTATGCTCAAGTGCTTATTTGAGCTGCATCTGAAGAGAGGTGGCCAGCAGGGTGAGGGAGGTGATTGTTGCAGAAATACAGAATCACAAATTGTAGGGTTGGACTAGTGACTGAACTGCTGTAAGTGGTGTTGGAAACAGATGAGTTGTTTTAAAATGCTTGATAAAAAAAAAAAAAATTGCATTGAACAATTTCTGAAATTCTGTAGATTTTTGCTGTTCATCTCATTAGGACCAGGTTTTAACCAACTTAGTCAACTCATGCCATTTGTACCATCTCACCTCTGAGATAATGAGAGAAAGGGCATTCCTGAGGAGACCGAGTTCTACGTAAGAGCTGGCTAATTCAGAAAACCTAAATTTGACAGTGACTGTATTCCTCTGCAAATCAATATTAGTCAAACTGTCAAGATTTCTTTATTTGATTTAAGACTATTTTTAAGTCCGTATTGTTAGCTTTTCAAGGTTTTTTTTTGTTTGTTTGTTTGTTTGTTTTTAAGGTTTTGTTTTGTGTTTAAGAGGAAAAAAGTCTACAAGAGACACCAGAAGCTCTTACCCTATTTTCTATTTCTAATCTTATTCAATAGGGCCATTGCACTCCCAGAAGTTAGAGACTACATATGTTTCATCTGCAGAAATACATTTAAAATGGAACCCTCCACAGCATTCCTCCTGTGCTCATTTTCATTATTACCTTATTAACATTTTGGATAGTGAAGCCAATGCCTGGGAACAGTTACCGGTTGAAAAAAACAAGACATCAACAGTAATAGGAAATATAAAACCTTATCATCAGTACCAGCTATATTTGCAGAATGTAGCAGAGAAAGGAACTCTAAGTTGCCATGAAAAGCCTATATTAATCACAACAGGTGATGTATCAATTTTCTGTTCGGTTGGCTGGTTTTTATTCTTTCCCCTAGACAGTTTATGTTGAGAATGGGATGCATAAATATATTTTTAAAGTTATGTGCAGGTTGAGGTTTGTTGGTACATGTTGAGGGAAAATTGGGGCAATTCTTTTCTATTTTTTCTGTTTAATAATTTCAATCTTCAGAACCTTTCAAAGAAGTGAAAGTACCTGTCATGTACCATGACAGTACATATCTTCTTTTTGACTTGATGACTTAAGCTATAATACTGTGTTCTGAAGTGGTAGCATCATATTTGATGCATATTGACTTATGGTTCATATACTAATGTAATTTTAACAAAGTAGGAACATCTCCATGATGTCTCAAATGATGTTGCTGAAGACAGATTAAGTTTTTCCAAATCATTGATACTGTGACTTAAATTGTGTCGTCTTTTGTGTCTGTATATATTCAATGGAACAGAATATGCTTGTAAAATCAGGCACTATTTTTATGAGAAAAAGTGGAAGAATCTGCCTGTAACTTGTAAGTGTCTAAAAACTGTCTACAAGCTGTTTAATAAATACATAAGTAGTAGATTTAAAATCATAAAATATCTAGAAGTAAGAATGAAGGAAACTATTTTTGGGAAGAGTTTAAGGGATGGTATGTTTGAGCTGTGGTTTTATACTGAAATTCTTCTTCTTTGATAAAGCTGTCAGTCCACCTACAGCTGTTTTTATTCAGCCTGAGGATGTGCAAGAAGAGAGTGTAATCCTTCACTGGAAACTGTCACAAGAGGGTCAGGAGGCCTACATTCAGGTGAAACCTAGTGCAGACATTGGTGAAACTAAGAAGTTTCTAATAAACAATACAGAAGAATTTAAGATCGATCTTCTAATTCCTGGAATGACTTATGAAATAGCAGTGGCAAGTGTGAATAATGGAAATATGAGTGAACTCAAGACTGTGCAATGCACTTTAAGTAAGATGTTGTTAAGCAGTGGAAATTACGGACTAATACACTCAACATCACGCTTGTTATCATTACTAACAAATTACTAACAGATTTATCATGTCAAGTACACTCACTTAATAGCCAGGAATCAAAACTAGAATATGAATTACATTGATTCAGTTCTTACTGTTAAAGGCAAAGCTAATGATGTTCAGAGAGATGCAGCCTTGGGAAACACATTGGTATTATTGAATGTTGTTTAACCGTGGTGAGGATCGGAGTATGGAATCCCATTCCCTCTGAGTAATTGAGAAGAGAGCAAATTGAGAAATTGAGCAAATTGTTGATTTGAAATAGGAAATTATAGGAATGATTGAAACAGTCTTTTGGGTAGAGATGAGTTAGGCATCCTGTGAAATGTGAGAGAAATTACCCTTCTATTAGTGAGAGGGTGTCAGGAAAAGACTTTGAGTTGGAAGTAGCGGTAGCTGAAAGAGAAAAAGCTGTAAATTTTTGTTTCAAAAATCGAAGGTGCTTTTCTGTTAGTGTTTGTTTACTGACATGTTGCAATGCTTTTGGCACAGTATAATGTTTTGGGTTTTTTTAATTTTTTTTTTGGATGTGAAAATAATGGCCAGGGCTCACTCATTATATATATGTGATATGTAAAAGCGACATCTGTCAGATTATAGATATGGTAAATGATGCCTTGTCATTTTTTTAAGTGCTTGCAATATTATTTTTTTTAATATATTTTATATAGCATTACACTTAATATCTAATTCACAAAATAGATGATGGGATTGTCCCATCTGTAAGAGCCAGCTACGTGGGAAGAAAACTCAATATAGCAGTCCGTCAAACATACCTCCTTCTCCTTGCTTATATCCATGTTCACACATACATATCGGTATATTGTTTCTGTTGCTCTACCAACCTTCTTGGTGCATTGTGTTTAACACCTGTGGAAACCTGACTTGCTTTGGTTCTAAATCCATTGCCAAGTTCTTCAGGATTTTAGTAATAAACAGCTAAAAAGATCAGGTTGATTACTCTTTCTGAGCAATTATATTTTTTATTACCTGCACCAGGTACCTGTCTGCACCATGCAAGTGTAGTCTCAGGGCAGTTGCTTCAGACTTACGGTGTCTTTTCTTATTTTCAATTAATCTAATGTGGCTTTTTTTTTTCTTCCTTTTTTCCTTTGTTTAGAGCCCAAGCCTGTTCAAATAGTAATTCCTTTTGTGCTTTATAGTAATGCTGTGGTATTATTTGTTCGCATGCCTGATACTGGAGTATTTGATGGCATACATGTTACAATGAATGATGGACATAACAGAACATTCAATTTGAAAAGTGATGGCAAAATAACAGTTGAAAACCTTACTCCAGGAACAGAGTATGATTTCGGTGTCTTCACAAAAAGCAGAGAAATGTTGAGCTCCTCTTACCATGTAACTGGTGTAAAAACATGTGAGTATTTTGATTCCTACAAAATTGTACAATGTTAAATTTTCATTTCTAATTTCTAACTTTAGTTTTATTTCAGTGCAATAAGAAATACATACTATTTACAAATCATCCAGTTATATTTGTGTAAGAAAATAGTACTTCTTCAAACAAAACTATAGCTATCCCTTATCATTACTAAACATTCTAAAGTCCGTTTCTGTGTCAAGACTATAAAAATATCTGGGAAGTATTTCAGGAATTTAGGCTGTATTAAACTGTTGTGGGGAAACGACATGTTTTGATTATTTATTTCAGCCAGGGTGATCAGCATCAGTGGAATTGCTTCTCTGTCTTGAAAATTAGCAAGTTTATTGCTCCCACTGCATCTTTAAACAAGGAAGAATAGCTTGAAGTTTCCAAAATGGAAATTATGATTATTAAGGGAAAAATCCCCAACATAAAGATCATACATAAGAGACCTTTTAATAAGGTTGTTCAAAAAGAAATTTTAATAAGGACTTAAACAATTGTTTGAAATATCTACTGAAATTCTGTGTTTTGAATTTTCAGTTTATTATGATAATGTACTTCTGTAAGTTTTTCTTCACATATTTTATTATTTTTATTTGACATTCATTTCTACTCTATCTCCTCAGAGTGGGAATGTTATAAAAAGTACTACTGAGATGGTAAAAGCAAGCAAGGAAGAAAATAAGAGCATGAGGGATGAAAATAATACTCTTCAAATAATGAAAACCTTGAAAGATTTTTCTTAAGATACAATCTTAAAAGTTGTGTTTTGATCACTATAAGAGAACAGTTCTTCAGAAAACTTACTTTTGATCTGTCTTTGTTGGGTCTCCAGAACCTTTGGAAAAGAAATACAAACCTATTTTTTTTCTTAGAAAACATGTAATTTTTTGTACATTCCAGGCAGAAAGAGCTGGATTGGAATAAGAGAAATGCAGACAGAAGTGTAAAATGCTTTGTAATATAATCTCATACAAGGCTATACTGATTAGGGATAAAGGGCATTTGCTGCGTCTAGCCTACTTGGTTTTGCTGATCTCTCTGACCAAATTTAGGTCAACTCAGAGCACAGTGGCAGTAGTATTGGAGGGATTAACTTTATTCTGGAGGATTTCCCTGCCTACGTGCATCAGCATGTTCAGCCCCATCTGATTTCAAGAAAAACAAGAAATCAGTTTACTTTGAATAGTGCCTGTATTATCTCTGCTCTTTCTCCATTTTTTTTTCTGCTTTAGAATGCCTATTTCCTGAACTCTATTTCCTGAAATGCCTGAAATCAGATTTTGCCCACTGCTTGCTTGAATTTGTTATTGATCCTCTTTGATATCTCCACAGAACACAAAATTGTTGGACTGAACAGTAACAGTTTTTATGTTTTCCTGTAGGCTTAGCAGCACCACTCAGTATACAAGAAGGCAATGTGACAGACACTTCAATACAGATTACTTGGGACCGTGCAGAAGGAGATTTTCAGCAATATGAAGTCACATGTACAAACTGTGCAAGTGCTTTCAGGGTATGCTTTTTGAAAAGACTGTTCAGTCAATGCAGTTATTTTTGTAAAATTTCATATTAAGCATTCAGAGATTAAATTAGAAGCTATGCATCCCACTAAAATAGGTGGAGGTGCCACTAATATAACAGAAGCATATTTTGCAAACAGTTCCTTATTTGGCTTTTTAGGTCCAGAAAGTCAAGCAAGAAACAGCAACATTTTCCAACCTTATTCCTGGTAAGCTGTACAGCTTTACAGTTCGATCAGAAAAGGAAGGTTTCAGAGATAGTGTACTTGTTGCAAAGGAAATAGAGACAGGTGAGGCCTCAGTGTCACTACATTCATAACTTGTTTTATTCTTCTTATATCCCTTGTTTTCTTCTACATTTATTTGAACTTTATTTTTGTTTGAAATAGAAAAAAATGAATTAAATCATCCCTATTATTTTCTCCTTATTCTCTTTCACTATTCTTTTCTTTATTCTTTAACTGTATCCTTTCAAGTAAATGCACTTGAATTTGGTTGTGGTGAACAACTCATTCCTGTTTTAACTACATAATGATTCAAGCAGTTTCATGCTGCTAGTGTACAACTGGTACTTGCAGACTGGTTATCAGCACTAGAAAAAGCAAAGTCTTTTTTTTTGAACTTCTGTTTTTGCTTCTCTGCTGAGTTTGAACTTGTTCAGTTTTTACTGAGTTTTTACTTGTTCAGAACGAAGTGTGGTTTAGAACTAAGATATGGTTTAGTTTGTGGTAGCAATGGTAATGAGAAGACGGTTGAACTAGATGATCTTACAGGTTACTTCCAACCTTGTGATTCTATGATTCTATTCTATAAATTAGTTTTCTGATATTCTTTCACTGGCTTCTTACGTCAGTAGTAAATACAGTTTTTGTTTTTGTTTTTGTTTTTTTTTTTTTCCCAGTAAATTTAGTTTTACTTTAGGCTACGATGTTGGATTCTCAGAAGCAGAGCTCTGTTTTAGTTCTGGTGTGAGAGTGTGTGTGTGAATGTCTAACTGGAAGGGGGCCAGGGTAAGCCAGGACTTAGGTGGAGTGCCTGGGAGCAAGCATGGGGGTAAGCAGCCAGCTCTGAGAGGCAGCTCTGGCTTTGAGTGCACCTGTGTATCTCCTAGGATGATCAGTTTGGAGGAGATCAGGGGAGGAGTATGAGGCTATAAGTGCTGTTTCGGTTCATGTGAATGCTCTGCCTTCTAGGAATACATCTTCAGCCTGGTTGGCCTGGGGACACAAAGCAGCAGCAGCCTTACCTCTCTCTGGCTGATGTGTCTGAAATTGTATAATTTCCTCTAACAGGTTTTTAATGTGAATAAGTATAGGTCATAAAAAGATTTACAGTGGGCAGCAAGCATGGTCAAAGATATTTAATATTTTGCTTTCAAGGAACCATCAACTAAAGCTGACATAGAAACAGTGGTAGATGTCTGAAAAAAAATTTTCTGAGAGGGTAAGTCGTGGGGAAGTAATTATGGAGTAAGTAAGAAAAAATGCATAGATATTCTTTTTGCAAGAACTGAGGACTTGAAACAGAAAAGAGCAAGCAGGAGACAAGCAAAAGGAGATAGTTGTTTATAAAATTTGTAGATAAGGTGCAGAACTCCTGCCCACAGGATATTTTGGGTGATGATTGTAGTTTGGCTCAAGAAATCCGTGGGCTACACACTAGGAAATAACCTGGAAGTTTATCACTACATGTAAGTCTTGTTTTCTGTAGACATCTGCTTTTAGCTGCCATTGAAAACAAGATATTTTACTAGCAGGAATTTTGGTCTCAGCCAAGCAAGTTAGGTCTTATGTTGATATTTCCTTAGAAATTGTAAGTGTTTGAGGAACTACACATTAGTGATGTCAAAACTACATTAAATAGAATTACAGAGCAATTGTTTTGGGTCTCGTGGGTAATAAAAGCCCCTAAACTCGTTACTGCAGTGGTATTATCTGTCTCTCATTGAGAAAAACAAGGACATAAACATTTTTCTGGAGCTTTCATCACATTTGGTTGAAAAAAGTCCTGTCATAGAATAGTGTGTTTAAGATATATTTTAAAAGTAACATTTCTTCTTGTTGTCACACAGTACCAAGTGCAGTTAAGTATCTGAACTATAGCAGAGACTCTGAATCAATAACTGTTACCTGGCCACCAGCCCAAAGTAAATTTGATGGGTATGTCCTATCAATAAAAAGCAAGATCTTCAACAAAGAGAACATGCTATCTTCTGGTGTAAGGTATGAGGATTACATTTTAATCTTCAGCTATTTTAAAAAAAACTAACATGAACTGAAATCAGATATTTCATACTATATGTATAAATAGTCTGCAGTATTACTTACATGTGATATATATTTGATGATTCATTTGATAAATACTACTGTACCTGTGTGAAAAAAGAACACTTAAGAATTCTATTTTATAATAAGCGACATCTAGTGTCATATAAAGAAATAATATCCATAATGTTGTAAGTAGTTAGAAGTATTAACATGCATGTATTTTAAAATCCTAAAGAAAACAATCTCTTTGACGTTTGTAGAATGTACAAACTTGAGGGACTTCTGCCAGGCACTGATTTCTTGATTAGTATTGTGACAACCAGTGGACTAAAAAGAAGTCACCCCACCATTCTCAAGGTTAACACCTGTAGGTTCACAATTCATTTTTACGTTTTAATGTTTTCTCTAAAAAACATAGTTTTTATTAAATCAATGCATGAATTTATTTAAATCAATTAAATAAGTGACTAGATTAATGTATGTGTGTCTTTCTTTTCAAGTTTAACATTCTAAAAAGTTATCAAATGAAGATTTTTCAATACAAATAAATTTCCTGTGGAGTTAATGGAATTATGTTGATAATTGAATCAGCGTGCTGTTAGGAATGGAATGTTTCTACAAAAACTTACAAACACTGCTTATATTTCTTATTCTGTTGCTAATACGTGGAGATAAGTGAGTTTTCCCCATTTCTCTTCTGCACAATATGAAATCTGTAACCACGTTGAATTATAAAGTAATGAATTACAGCAGTATTTCCTTCAATTCAGTATAAAATATTTTGCTATTAAATTTTGCATGCTCTCATACTCTTACCTCAGGTCCTGATCCACCATCAGACTTGCAGGTGCTTGGGCAGGAAGAAAATACAGTATATTTGTCTTGGAAACTACCAAGAGGAGGATTTGATAAGTTTCAGGTGAGATAAGAGTGGGAAGAAAAACAATGCAATCTTATAAATTTCTCAATGAAATTATTATCTTTCATGTATAATAAGATAAATACATACAAACATATGTATAATAACACGTATCTACAACAATAATTATTTGTCGTTACAAACCATGTAATTATGGGAGGGAAATATTGTTTCTAGAGATGGTCAGGTTCTAATATTCTGTGGTTAGTATTACAGACTGGCTTGTCATCATTAGCATTTTGAAGCATGTCCTTTGCAACACTTAGCTTAAAATATAGAATTCTTTTCTTCCAGTTCTCTGGTCAGAAACAATTCTCTGTGACATCTAAACACTTGGTTTGTGTATCATGTTTCACTGAGACATTCAACCAGTCTCTTTTGTATCCTGTCTTTTGCAGCCTATCTTGGATTATCCTTTGCCTTTTGAAGTCACTGTATAAACACAGTCATACTGTCAACTCTTCAGTAATAAACTGTTTGGTAGTAAACTTGTCATTTGAATTGATGATGATTTCGAGGTGTCATCCTGTACTGTAACTTACTGGCTAGGATATTCTTCATTACGTAGAAAAACCATGGAACCAAGTACCTTGCTCTAATTGTTTTACGTAGTTTATACTCCAATATTAAAGTATCCAATTCTGCTCCCCACACCACTGAAGTTTCAGTATTGTTAAGCATTGTTTCTTAGCAGTTCTTCTCTCTTCATTAGTGTGCAGCTGCATCGATCTGAATGAATAAAGCCAGACAGTTAACCTACACCAGCACCATTTGCTGAATGTAGTTTGGAGTATTTTTACAAATTTCAAAATTTAATTTGATTCTCTTGTTCATGTTCTGAAGCAGCTCTGACACACTTTTGTATGTGGTCAGGTTATTTTTATCATCCCATGGAAAATAATTGTCATCTGTAATACTGATCTTTATGGAACTGTACTATTGCTTGGTATTGGTATCTCATACAGTAAGCAGCCGCATTATACAGTGCTTTATCAGAATAAATGAGGTTGTCTATAAATCTTTAATAGGAAAGGCTTCAGTAGACTGGTTGCTTAGTGAAGTGCACCTGCATAAAAGGGATCATTTTACTAACCATTTAAAATTAATTGTCCCAGCTCACAACTTTCTATGGAATATACATAAAAAAAAGAGTACACAAAAGAAACTTTCCTAACTTGTTTTATGCTAGATGTAAATTTTTAATCTATAGCTTTGCTTCTAGCATTTTGCAGTGCTGTAATTCTAATGAATTGATGACAGTCTCCAAGATTTAGTATGCATTGAAAGGTCTTGTGTCAGCACAATAAGTAGATGCAATAAGTAGATGCCTAAGGGAACTGCACTATTCCTTCCCAGATCCACAGCAGCTGAATCTAAATTCTTTCAGATCACCTGTATGACCCCTCCACTCCTGGAGGAAATAACTGGTGAGCAGACAGAACACACTGACAAAGAACAGCTGCAAACCATCTTCATCTAACAGTACTGCCACTACCAAGAAACCCCTGCAAATATGCGTGCTGAGAATGTTTGTCTAGAGCCCTCCTCTGAAGGGCAGACACACTGTGCATCTTGGTTTTCACCAGTGCAGATGAGAAATAGTCCGCAGCAGTGTTCTGTTTCCACAGAAAGGACTATCACAGGAATTTATTCCTTCACCTCAGGAGTTGTCTTGGCGGTCAAAAGGAATTCTCACAGCCTCTAGGAAATAAGGGGCCAAATTAAAACTGGTATCTGCAGCACTTTTATTCTCTTCAGTGGCTCAAAGCAGTGAGTTTTCAAGGTATCCTAGTGAGCTCAGTTGAGTGGCTGATTCCTTAGGGCTCTTTCTTTTTTTCATTCCTTCTTTCTATCTTGTAGTTAACTGCACAGCTTATTGGTACAGCTGTGTGATTGAGTAGTCAGAGTACAATCTATTATCCTCCCTCCAAGAGTAAAGGCTTCGCCTCCTCCATGTATTTTTAGAAGATTAAAAATGCTTCCATCACTATTAAGAAATATTAGAGTAAGTAGTGGATCAGCCTTGTGGAACATAAAACTTCAGCCCTATTCCTTATTTTGTCTCTAAAATGTAGGGAATATTATAAATGTTTGTATATAAACAGGTGGTTAGAATCTTTGAACATAAATTTTATGAAGTGCAATAACGTATGACATAAGAAACTATCATCAACTGTTATTACATTATTCTATTAACACACCAGTCTAATAATATATATTTTTACTTATAACTTCTTTTATAATATAGTTGATACATAAATATAATATAATTTCTTATATAATATTGTAAGTAAGTATAAATATGTAAGTAGAATTACATAAACTTAATCATATTGGATTTAAGTAATTACTCTTTTTCCGTAGCTTTCATATTGTCTAATGAATAATGAAAAGCCATTTACCAGAACTGTCTATGATAGCAGAGCTGTAGTGAAAAATCTGGCCCCCGGGATGGAATATACATTTCAGTTAAGGACAATTAAAGGCTGGGATTCCTCTGTGACTGTGGAGAAAAATGTCATCACAAGTAAGGAAGCACCTTGTGATTTGTATACTTTTGAATAAAAGTAAATATGGATACAGAGGCATTTAAATCATTGCATGCAAGTCGTGCAAAAAGATCAGAGTGTTCAAAATAAAGTTTAACTTTAGGGGGAAAATTTTGCTTCCTCTTGTCATAGTTGCTTAAACAGGATCCTTGATGAAGTCGAGGAGTCTAAACATAGTTGTAGGTAATCATTTGAATAAAAAAACTGGACTCTCAAAATTCTTCCAGCTCCAGCACAAGCCTGGCAAAGTTGATAGAGTAGATAAGTGTAATCAAAATATAAATCAACTCTTGGTTTTATATATGTACATATCTTAGTCCTCCCCACTTTGAAGAGTTTTCTGTGGCTTGTTGGGACTCTAATTCCTTGATGAAGGAAGGCTCTGCTAGAAGGCTTTGCAGTTAGTTTGACAAAGATGAATGAATCTCTGAAAAAGATGAACTAGATCTTCAGAATTTTGTCACTGGAAAATAAAAGAGAATAATTATCATCTTGGTCCTGAAAGTACTTCTTTTCAGGCAAATATTTTCATGACTGCTGGGCATGAGTGCAGTATATAACCTGAGTATGGAGAAATTACTCTCACAATTTTAATGACATTTCATATTGAATAGTGCAGCCTTTAGTGGAATAATGCTTTTTTTTTAATTTTTTTTTTATTAAAGAAATTTATAAATAATTACAACATTCATTTTTTTTGGAGGACTGCAAACATTAATTTTCTAATGGAAAGTGTACATTGCATATTAATGGAGATGTTATTTATGAATAAATATCTACACTTTTAGAATTCTGGATATTCCAAGAGGAATAAAGGATTCATCACATGCACTTTTTGTTTCCCTTTCTAAAATGAACAATTTTCTAAAATCGTATGTCTTATGAAGCATTTCAGAAAATGTTTAATTGAATAAAATCACCTCAAAGACTTCCTTTTCACTCTGATTGCTCAATGCTATTGTTCTAGTAGAAGATTAGATAAGTCTGGAATTCTCTTCCATAAATTACATAGTGCACAGTAGAGTGACACTGTCAAGTTTTATTCTGGGTAATATGATGGAACTTCTTACTAGATATCCATACAAACGTACTTCTAAAATGTGCATTAATATTTCATTAATCTCTGAACCCAAAAATCATTTAAATAAAAACCATTTATTTTCAAATGCTGATATTTTTGTTACATTTTTTACAAGAAATACGTATTAAAATTGTCTTTATTAATCTGAGTTACTTTACTATAGAACCAGCTGGGATCTGCAATTTGGCATTGAAAATGGTAAATACTTCCTCTGCTACTTTAATGTGGAATCCAACCAAGACTAACTTCACATCTTACAAAGCATCTTTGTCAAACAGCACCTTTATGAGCAAGTTCGTGATTCCAGGAGCAGTATCTAACTTCAGTGTTACAAATCTGACTGCTGGGGGTATTTATAATTTCACACTGCGAAGACTGCAAGGCAATGTTGAAGGAGCTCCCGCTTTCATTGAAATTGTAGCAGGTCTGTACGGTTTTCTATTTTTTCTACTTGCAGGCGAATGGTAGCTCTCAATAACCATTTAGCCTTGTGTGTATCACTGGTTGAATAACATGGGAATTTCAAGAGACGTTACATGTAACAGTTTGCTGTGGTTGTGGACATGCATTATCTGTAATGTACGCAACTTAAATCTAGTGGTCACTACCAGAAATAATATTATTTATATGTGTAGCATGCCTTTTGGCCATGTTTAGTGTCTTCGTTATTTTGCAGGTCTTAATCCTGCAAAGGGTTATGCACTATCTGAACTTAACCTTTAATGTTTGCAGAGTTAAGGCTTTAGAATGTAAAATGTTCCATTCAAAGACTGTTTCTTACTGGATTTGTTCTTAAAACATTATGGGGTAAAATCTCAATCTTGACATTTGCCTGCAGTTTAATGTAATATAATAATGTAAAATACAGCTGAAATTTGAAAGGCAAAAAGGTGCTCCAGAATTTCTATTACTACTTTCCTATACCACTTTTGGAAGTTTTACCTGTGTCAATGACAGAGGAAGACCTGAGAAGTATTGAAGGTTCTCATTGACATGTCATGAGACACGTAATGACACACATTTGCATGTGTGCTTTAGGGATCGTGTGCTTTAGCTGTAGTCAGGGGGTTTGAAGCAAGAGTTTGAAGAGTCTTTAAAATGCAATGATATAGAGGTGGAAATCCTTATGTTTACTTTGAAGTAGTTGTCTTGAGAAAAACTATGAAGAAAAATCTTGCACATCTTTTATAAGTTGATCCATGACCACAATACTGTAATACTTAGTCATTACTAATATTTTTTTCTAATTCAGAGAAGATTTAAGTAAGTTTGGTTGATCCATTTGTGATTGCTTTTGCTTAAACGTGTCGAGATTACACCACAATGCTGAGCCTTATAAGTCGTTTATGATGGTTAATTTTGGGAAAAACTATCATGTTGCATTTTGCACACCATGCTCCGTGATGTATCTTCTCAACTGCAGTGAATTATGTCAGTGAAATGAGCAGGAAGCTGTTTTATGCTTCACACAGATATGCTGGCTGTATACTTTACACAAGTATACTGGCCACTGCTGGTAAGAAGTGAATGTTAACACGTACGTGAAACAGGAGTACAGTGGAAGAGCAGGTGCTCTGAGGCTCAAGTGAACTGCATTGGTGACATGGTTAAAACTGCAAGAGGGTAGAAGTGAAACTTTTCTCAGTGTCAGTGGAAGAGGTAGTTCTCAATCATAGGGTAATAGTAGGACTATTATTAGCTTCATGGCACTACATTTCTCTTTCCATGAGGAATCTTCCAGGCTGTCTTCTGCTGCTGATTCAGAAATAATGCGACTGAGGCAGACGGATTTAAGTACTACGATAACTCAGATTTTAATCATGGGTTTGTATAAAAGACCTTTACAAGCATAGTGTCTGGAAATAGTAATACTAATGGTAACACTAGGACTTATAATTTAAATAAGTGTAATAAAAGGAAGAAGATGTGCTCTTGGTTACGCTTGCAATTCTCTACATTGATTTTTTTTTCCTGTTAGTATTAAAATAAATTAAAAGTAATACAAAAACCCAATCATATATGCAAGAAATAAATACTGAGTATAAAAACCTAGTGTTGACATTTGGATTCATGAACACTTCAGGTAGAATATTTGGTAGCAGAGCTGTAGTGATCTGTTTGAAACTGCAGGGAAAAGAGTTCAGGAAGGATACATAATCTAAATAGTAAATAAAAATGACTGGAACTCTTTCAGAATAAAAGTGATGTGATATTTAAACTGAAAAGGACATTATTACTGTATAAACAGCTCAGAAGACTTAGTTCGAATTTGGAAGAAACAAGTTAGTAAGGGAGTTAGAGGACAGTGAAAGGTAGTGGCATATCTGGCATGTGACAAAGAGCATCTCTGATGGGGCTTGCTGTGTCAGGTATGCACAGGAACTGTTGTTAGCTATCTGCACTATGGCTATGTGCATGTGGATCAGTAATACAATATTAAAGATATGTAATGTTTTAATGAGCTACTGATGAAGCTACAGTATGATTCATTGGTAGGACTTGAGTGAATGATACAGATTTAAAAGTGCCTGAAAGGGCAGAAAAATAAGAAAGTGAGATGACATTTCAGGAACATGTGAAAACATGGCTCTAATGAAAGGAGTCCAAAACAAAAAAATAGGAGACTTAACTAATTAGATTTCCTGGAATTACTTGGATTTCAGATATATGAAAACTATTTAAAAAGGATTAACTACTTTGTAACAAGCAACAGAACAGAAAATCTGTAGTAGCATTACTTGGTACAGCAGTAGTGCTAACTTTAAGGTTGAGTACAGCAGAAGCACTGAGACTGTGCTGAAATTCTTGCTTAACCAAACAGTGGACTGAGATACCTGAGTATATCTCCACAGTATCTACACAGCATAGTTCAGAGATTATCAACCATATCTCAGAAGTACTGCAGCAACTGTATTGTAAAATGCTGTTGCATATGGGCTAATTAGCAATTATCCTTCTTGGAGTGAGTAAGCTGTTCCTGGGTGCTTTTATAGTCAGTTGTAACTACTTATATATTTGGCAAGGATGTATTTAGTTTAACATTTTATATTTCATGCTTCTCTTTTAGAACCTGCAAAACCAGAAGGACTTAAATTCTTCAATGTTTCATCAGATTCTTTTTCCCTGTATTGGAGACTACCATATGGACATGTAGACAGATTTCGTGTGGATCTTATTCCTGACCATGGATCTGTTGTTATCTTAGATCTTGGAGTTAGAGAGTATCAAGTATGTGCTTTTATTACAGGACTTGCACTGCCAGCTTTTCCTTGTGCAGCATAATGATGAAGAATGCAAGGTTGCTTCCTTAGCTATTTTATGCAGATGTGACCAGAGAGGTATTCATATAAAATTACTGAAAGCACATTTCAGCATCCAGAGTTTGGTACCTTAAAACAGTTAGCGAATCTCTCTCTTTTTTTTATTTTTTTCAAGTCTGCTACAAGGATACAGTCAGTCATCCAAGGTTCATGAATAGTTTAACAAAGGAAGGGCAGAGCTGTTGAGTAATACAGACTCATTAATTGTGTACTTGCCAGGAAGATCCGTGCTTAAATCATTAATGCAGGCAACATTTCGCTGCTGAGGCATCAAAAAGAAATAGGAGGACTTTTTGGTTCTACAGTCTGGAAAATATAAGAATATTAACAGAAGTAATGGCTGTTCTGGTTGGTTTGCTTTTGTTTTTTATTGGAACTACACAGATACAGGTATTTTGTATTAATGACTGTTTAAAAGTTTTTAATTATGCTTATTTCAAATGATGGGTTTACTTAACCATCAGAACGTTGGAAGCTTTTCAAGACTTGCTTTGTGTTTATTCTTTCAAGAGGTGATTTTATAATGCTAAATATATGCTTGAATAATGAGGATGTTGCAGAAACACCTGTATAGATACACTGATAAGTGATTCTGTGATAAAATTAATAGTATGGAGGGTAGCTAAATAAGATAAAATGCTGTGCTGTAGCTAGCAAGTATGAACTGCTCTTCTTACTGTTGCAAATGCTGCTATATTTCTAAAACCTCATTTACCAGCCTTTTTGGTAATTACTCTCAGTACTGCAGTGCTTAAAATTACAGGGTTGGGGCTTCTATTGTTGTTGTTCTTGTTTTCAGTTATGGGGGATGGGGCATTCATTTTCATGATTCTTGCTAACAATCCGATGTCATATTTTAGGCTGACTTTTATAACACTACACCTGGAACAACATACAACGTTACAGTTTCTACAGTTTCTTCTTCCACATACAGTTCACCTGCTGGTAGAACAGTGACAACAAATGTCACAAGTAAGTTAAAAATGACTGCTTATGTTTTATTTCTTTTTTTTTAACAATGATTTCTTTTTTGTATATACTATTATACATAGTACTACAGGCAAAGTGATAAATATTTTTTAACAGTCATCAGAATTTTTAATCTTCTTTAAATGTAAAAAAATATATACTGAATCAGAGGTGTTCTACGAGAGCATGAGAATTAATTAGATTTTTCAGAATAAACCCTCATTGTGAGTAGTGGTGGTATTCATCCATTAGCTTGGCTATTTAAAATTTAAAAAAGAGAGAGAGAGAGAGAAAAGCAACAACGACAACAACAACAACAAAACCCTGAAAACACAAAGGAAAGCAACTGATAAACTTCTGAAAAGTTTTTAGTTGTAAAATAATATCCATGCATGGAACAGCAGTCTTCTGAGATGTTTCAGAAAAACATAGCCATATCAGACATATCTTACGAGTGTAATTTATTTTATTTAATGAAAGGAACTTAAATTAAGCATGCTAGAATATCTGAAATATTAAGTTGGCATTATGCTGTTTTGTTTGCTATGATGTTACATATTTTGCATTCATAAAAAAGAATGTTCCTGAAGTTCAAAATTTCATTTAATCTTTTTTTGTAACGGTATTGTAGCCAGAAACAAACAAACAACTGAATGGAAAACAAACAAACAAACAAAGCTTATTAAACTGTACATTTGGTCTTCTGTATTTTTTCTTATTTTTGCTGGCAGATGATTTTTTTTATTTACAGTAACTATGAGGATGTCTCCATCATTTGGAAACTTAATTAAAGACCGTTTTTTGACATATTATTTATTTATTTTTAGATCCTGGTCCCCCTGCATTACTTGCAGGTGAAAGAGTTGGCTCTGCTGGAATTCTGTTGTCGTGGAATACACCACAGCATCCAAATGGGAGAATTCTGTCCTACATTGTTAAATATAAAGAGGTCTGCCCGTGGATGCAAACAGCTTATACACAGGTCACAACAAAGCCAGATAGTCTGGAGGTTCTTCTTACCAATCTTAACCCTGGAACAACTTACGAAATTAAGGTAAAAGCTTTATGAATACTGTTTAGCTTGAACTTTCCCTTGTTGTGCATTGTATGAAACTATGTTAAGTGCACTGATTTCTGATGCACATTGTTAATAACTTCTGCTGTGTAACAAAATGCATGTAGCAGGTATTTATTTACTTTAGTGGCTTTTACATATACTTAAAATAATTTCTAACCACAACTGTTCTAAAGCATAGTATCTTCTATTAATATTCTTACTAACATATAATATGTGGTGGAGAGCACAGAGCACAGGTTAGAATTTTAAAAAATATCTGTACACTTCATCTTCACTGAGATTTAGTCTTTCAAATCACTGGTGCACTTTGGATATTACACGCAGATTTCTAAATCACCTCAACCAAATCCATAAAAGCATATATACGTGTGTAATTCTTTATTTGATTTTAAACTGAATTATTTGAAGAAAGAATTTTCTGTCCTGAATTTTCAACTGTTGTCATCTAAAATCTTGCTCACTTTCTGATCAATAACTGTTTTCCTAATACTGAGATGAAAAGCAGGCTTCTTTCTATATTGCAAATACACTCCTATGACACATTCTCACCCCAACTATGTACTTGTGATGGGGTAGTGCCAACAACTCCACTCACTGAACAGAAGGATACAGGTACACACAGCTACATACTTGATGAAAAATTTCCTTTTTATTTAATCGTCTTTGTATTTTCCCTTGTGTTTGTGTGTGGCCTGTAAACATCTTAGCCTAGTTTCCCCAAGCCCGAATGTTTTACCTGTTATCGTTTCCTAAACAAAAAAGTTGTACCATTCATTGTCCTTTCCATAGATTTTATTTCTTTGATATTTACAGGAGGTACCTACTGTCAAAATCAGCAGATGTATTTTCATGAGTTCTATATGCACAATTTGGATTAGGCACTCCTGATCCATCTCTGAACTTTTCAAGTGTAAATAACTTCAAATGGACAGAAATGCATTATTGTTCTCTTGGCAACATTTGCCATGAAGTTCTCTGACACTTTCACAAGAACCTTGGATAGGCACTTCTTTTTAGTGTCAAGAATAAAATGAAATAATATGCTTAGTTTGTTTCATTCCATGTAATGTGAATTGATACCATGGAAAAATATTAGATTTGGCAGTCAAGGAGTAGAGCTGTGCAGTAATCCCTTGTAATGATGATGTGCATATGTAAGAAAGTAGAAATCTAATTAGGGCTTGCTACTGTGGGGAAATTGCTTGCTGTGAATCTTGCAGTGATGACCTTGCTGGTGAAAAGCAGAAATGTTTAGCCTTTGATCTGCCTGTAATCATTTGTTGAAGAAAAAATTAAATAATCAGCTCCTATTAGAGAAAAAAAAAAAAAAAAAATTATTATTTAGACTAAGCTTGTTAATCTGTTCAGGTAGATAAAGTTATTAAGATAGTTCAGTTTATTTGTGTGAGATTCACTTTTGAAGGTTTTGCAGATTGTCTTTTTTGCTCTTCCTTGGGAAAGCTGTAGGACATTTAAATCGTGTTTTACTTCGCAGTGATTTGCCTTTGGCTGATATATTTGGGAGGCTTTTCTTCTCATTACTGATGTTTTAGCCATTGATCTTAGAGCTGAATTTGACTCGTGAAAATGACTTTAGACCCAGATACACTGGGCTAGCAGGGACCTCATGGCTTTCGGCATGAGTGACTAAAAGTCTATTGGCAAGTGGAGGGCTGTTAGCCTATCTGCTGCTTTGGTGGGCTGCCCCACTAGCTGACCCACTAGCACTCTCACTGAGATGGAAATGTGTGGCCAAAAGGAAACATTAAATATTTTCCTTGTCCTGAGTAATTTATTTCTTTGCTGGTATTTTTTGGATTTTTTGGAGAGGAAGCAGTGAGTATTTTTCTGGGGAGGAGTTTGTTGTGTCATTTACAAGCTCTTCATTTTTGCATGGATGAAAATTTGTTATTGTTTTTACCTGGCTTGTTCTTGCTAAATTCCTTCTGGTACGTACCACAACAGTACAGTTCAAAATAGCATCTTATCAAATTTGAATATTCTAATCTATTTCTGACAGCCCAGTCTTGATTTTGTTTCTAGACATTTAATGAAGAAACATTCGTAGAGAAACAGTACTTAAAAGAGATTATTTGCTATCGCTACATATTTGAGAATTGTTTGTATGTTTGCAACATTTTGGGCACCTGATCACTGATAAATTTGTAAAAATATTCAGTCAAGAAACCTTTTTCCTAAACGTCAAATAATTAGTACCAACTCTGTACTTCAAAGCACAGGCATTAGTACTCCTTCCAAATTTGAATTACAACTACTTGAACTGTGTGAACTTTTGTTATCCACAAAGTAACTTTGGTATTTTTGGTTTTTTGTTTTTTTTTTTTCACTTGCTTCCAAACTTTTTGCTATAATGTCACCCTGTGGCATGATCACCTAGAGATTTCTAGAAGCTAATGGCACATTTCACAAGCATTTATTTTATCTTGAAAGTCAATCAGTGTGTATAGTTGACCCCTCCACCATGCAAAAATTTGTATGCTTTTGTCATATTACCCTGGACTTTTTCTTAAGACTGCAAATCTCAAATAGGCAGACTTTCGATGTATCACTCAGTTTTCTGGATTCTTTCTACCATATCTGTTTTGTTCATTTGTACGTTTATGATTTAAAAGCTGGTAGGTGAATGTCTGCTTCTCCTTAAGATATGCACACTGCCTGTACATCCTATAGGTTCTCTAATTTGATTTCTTTTTTTCTTTAGGTTGCTGCTGAGAACAGCGCTGGTGTTGGAGTGTTTAGTGCTCCTTTTCTTTTCCAGACTGCAGAAAGTGGTAATTTTAATAAACCTGCTTATTAGAGCTCTCTAATTTGCTCAAATATAGCACCCCTGATGGTTCATATTTGATATTTGTACAAATATTTAATTTGTACAAATTCTGATACATTTAGAAGAAAATCTCAATTGTTTCTGCATTTTCCACTCAGTGGGAAATGGTGCTCTTTGTCCTAATTGCTAGTAACAGGATGTAAGGTGTGCACATGTGGAGTTTCTCATATGAAAACTCTGTTTCTCTTGGTGTTTTTTGATACAAGTTTCTAGGTAGGCTGAAAGTAGTGTCAGAGGAGAGCAGACCTGTCTACGAATTACACCCATCAGCTAGTGCCTGCAGCAATACTAGGAAACTGGAAGTACTTGGGTCGGTTCTTGAATTGCCTCCTTGTGTCAGGCTGTATTTGTTCATTGCCTAAGTCAAAGTACCTTCTCTAGATAGCACACAATATGTTCTACTAAGTTTTTACTTCTTAAGTGTAAAGAAAAAGAGGTGAAAAAAGGCACAACTGATATGAAAATACGACTTGATGAATTTGAAAATTAAAAAAAATATATATTTTTATGCTGTATTTCCGTAATTTTTACAAATTTACTATTTTTAGCCTTGCTTTTCCAAGCTTTTCCACTTCAGGAGCAGTTGAACCTTGACTGAAGCGCTGGTACCAGGCCAGTTCTGTGGAGGTGAACAAGTGTAATTGAAATATAGAATTTGTCTTGCCGTTGTGGTGATTGTCCCTCTGTGTCTGGGACTCTAGGCTGATTTCTGTAGCAGGACAAACCATAATGTTAAACATAATATCAGTTAAAGGCAGGAAGATATTCTGCATGAGATTTCTGAGATAACAATGAATTGTAAAACCAGATACGAGAAGGTGTAGCTAACTAACTTGGAGGTGCTACGTAAATCATTATTCTTCACTATTTTTGTAACAAATTGCTCACAGAGAACCAGACTTCAGTGGCTTTATTTACTCGTAGTTGACAGAGGACAATACTAGCATTTTCCCATAGGAGAACTTCAGCTTTTTACTTTTTGATACTTTCTGTTCACATTGTATTAAAGGTAAAACCCTTATTATTGATGTAACTGGAAGACCTGTTGAAATTGGAGGTGAGAGTTGTATGTCACTCTGATGGTATTCTTCTTCTTTTAAGCTATTGCTGTGATGATTGAAGAGATGCCAACGACTTGATCAAAATGAAGTTCAGTTTAAAACAATAAAGTTATCTAGAAAAAGTTAACTAGAGTGGATAGTTATGTGGACAGTATGGTTTTCAACATACAAGGGCCTTTTTCGAACTGGTCTAACTAAAATGGTTATTTTCCATTTAAGATCACTGAATATAGGAGAGCACAAATATTTGAAATGTGATAGGTTCTTTGGGTACTGTAGTACTAAATGATAATGGAAATCATTTTAAATCATGGTAGATTTGATTCTGAAATGTTTATTTAATGAGAAGAAAAGTATGTCTCACTGCTTTTGTTTGTTTTGTTTTCAAGCTCCAGGTAAAGTAGTGAATCTCACAGTTGAAGCCTTAAATTATACAGCTGTAAATCTGATCTGGTTTCTGCCTCGACAACCAAATGGAAAGATAACTAGTTTCAAGATTAGTGTGAAACATGCAAGAAGTGGAATTGTAGTGAAAGATGTCTTGGTTAAAGTAGAAGACCTTCTGTCTGGGAGGTTACCAGAGTGTAATGTAAGTGCTATAAGCCTTTAGAAATAGACTGAAGCTACAGAATATAATAAAATTTGAATTTTGGGACCATTTGGAGGCTTGCTTTTTGGAACAATCCCCAGTAGTTTACAGAGTTAGGTCTGAGGAAGGATATAATAATGTGAAGAAAAGATTTTCTGCCAGAAGTAGATTAAGAAGGGAATTTTACCTTGGAAAGCTCAGTTTAATCCTGTAATAATGTCAAGAAAGGATCAATTAATTGATATACTTTTAATAGAAAAGGATGGAGTAAATAAATTTGATGTTTCAGTTTCCATTTTTAATTTTACAGCATTCACTGTAAAAAAAAATGTTTCTGTCACTGTAGAGATGTGGTACTGTTAATATTTCATTTTTATGTAAAGTTTTATAAAGCTTTGTATATTTTAAGTTGTGCTCTATTCTGCATATCACATTTCAAGAGTAGTTTAATACTTTTCAAAGCAACGTAAAAAGAAATAGCAGAGTGATATTCAGTAATTCTTTGTAGACAGTTGTTCAGAAACTTTCAGTGAATATTTAATTTCAGAATTTTTACTATCCCTCTGTTTTCAACCTGAAGCCAATGTATAACTTTCAGAGTTTCTTGAAGAATATTCTCCTTTTCAACTTTTGTTCTCCTTTTTCCTTTATTCTGAGCCGTGTGTTATGACTATTAGGATGTCAAGTTGCCTAAATGTGTTTTTTTTTTTTTTTTTTTTTTTTTTTTTTTTTTTTTTTTTTTCGGGGTGCTAGACTTAGTGATACACTGAAAAGTGCAGTTTTAAATAATAAAAAATGATCAGGGATTTGGTTTCAGATTTTATTTTTGTGATAATGTTAAGCATTTTTGAGGGCTGTAAACGTCAGGCTGATTTAATTTAGCACTGAGAAGAGAGTATCCCACCTATGAATCATAACACATCAATGATTGAAAAGCCCAGCAGCTTTTCAGAGTTGTCTCCTGACAGTACAGATCAGAAAACCTCTGTCTGGTACCTGCTATATATGTATATATCTGTCTATCTCTTTCCGTGCTTATGTATGTACACATAAAGGTAGGCATACAAAATACATATGTTGAAAAAAGACCTCCTTAGAGGTAATTTATTTTTTTGTAGAGAAGTAATCGGAATTATAAAACTGGGAATAGCTAAATGGAGACTAAAAAGTTCCTTCTGCTCAATGATGTTTAAAATTTTTTTGAATAAGGGCAAACACTGTACTACTGTCACTAACAAGAAGTGCTAGCACTTCAAATAATGAAATGATAAACTGATTTCAATCATACTGAAGTTTGAAAATAAAAAAATAGAACCAGATCCAGGTGATTTTGTTTCAAAGGGTTTCTGCCTTTTTTTTAACCTCCATATATTAACAGTCGGTATGCTTTCTGTTTATAATATTTCATATTTGTCTTACTAGGATAACAGTGAATCATTTCTGTGGAGTACTACCACTCCTTCAACTACTTTTGGCAAGTCCACAGTTCCTTCAAGTACTACAGTTACAGCAAGTACAGAAGCATCTAGTCAAATGAGCTCTGTTTGGAATGAGCCAATTAGTTTTGTTATAACTAACCTGAGGGCATATACCACCTATCTTTTTGAAGTCTCTGCAGTTAACACTGAAGCAGGCTACATTGACAGTGCGATTGTCCGAACGCCGGAATCAGGTATTATTTTCATATATTACTTTCGAAAGTAAATAAAGTTCTCAGATTTATAGAAAAACAATGAAAGGTAGGGATTCACCTATAATGAAAAGTCAAAGGAATCAAAGCGTGCTCAGGACAGATCATTCTTTTCTCTTTAATTTTGTGAAAAACGAAGGATAATTCAAGAACTTCAATTAATAATGCAATTGAATGAAAATTAAAAATAAGCTAGAACGGAAAGGGTGTCAGTCATAGAATTAAAAGAGCGTATATACTGTATACATAGCAATAAGCTTAAAGCTTCCTTGCATTTCAGGGGAAAAAGAAAAAAAAAAGCAGTATAAAGAAAACTCCTTTCCCATGGTTCCTCAGTCTGGAGCTATTGCAGAAGTCTGGTCAGTGCTGAAGAAATCTTTAAGTACTGGAAAAATTGGTTTTTGGATTACTCAAAATTCTCTAAGAAGTTAGAATTGAAATCAAAGCTTATCCAAGAGCAGAATGGGCAATTGTGTTAATACAGCCATACTAGAAAACTCTTGTTTCCAGAGGAATGTTAATCTGGCTTTTTGTTTGCTAGAGCATCCTTCTTTTGTCTGACACGGTTTGATGTTGCTGGGCTGCTCTTTCATTCATCAAACAGTCATAGCACCATTCAACTGAAAATAAATGTAATTCTCTTCTAGCACTGTTTATCTGAATGTTTTTGCTAGCATTAAAGCATCCTTAGTTGGCAATTCTGTCTAGAGTGGTTTAAAAAAGTTTACTTGGGCATTTTTGGAAATCATTTTCTTTCTAACTCTATATGGTTGAAAAGAATTGCAGCTGTTTTAGTTGTCTTTGGATTTGTTTAGTTGTCTTTGGAATTTTCCATTTCAGTAGTAATATCACTAACTTGTGAAGGTATACTTCAGAAAGGAAGGTATGCTTCAGAAACGGATTGGCTTCTTTAGTTGCTTTAATTGACACGAATAGTTTCATGAAAATACGAGGTGCAATGTTTTTGCAGTCTTACCTGTGTCTGTTTTTGAAGTTTTGGATAATAAAATATCACTGGTGCTCTCAGAAATCAGCTATATGAGGTAATCTATAAGAAAAAAAAAAACTGTTTGAGAAAGAAAATCTTACTCCACATGAGCTCTATATTGCTGAGCATCACAGTAGTATTTGAGCATCTTCCATATGTAATCTGTGTGTAATAAGTCTATATCAAACTTTATAAAATCCCTGATACCTTTATGTTTTAAGTATTGTTTTTATACTACCAGTTCTTTTGATACCTTATGCAAGAATCATGTTTAAAAAAAAAAGGAATAAAATTAAGACAATTTAATGAGCTGTGCTTTCAATGTAAGTCTTCTTCAGTGCATTTAATGCTTATATTTTAATTTAATTGTCTGGTATGCGATTCTTGGGAATTCTAGATATAAATTATTTTATATTCAAAGACTTTTTCCAAAATTAAGTTCCAGAAGATCCACCACAAAATTTTGCCAAGATTAACATTACTGCAAAGTCTTTCTCAGTGATGTGGGACCCACCAACCATAGTAACGGGGAAATTTAGTTACAGAGTTGAGCTGTATGGGCCATCTGGTAAGTCTAAATTGATTGATTGATTGATTAGTTGATTGTTTTTTTGTCCTTATACTTGCATTCTTAGTGTCACCACCAGTGGAGAAAGAAAATTTGAAAGCACTGCTATGTATCCTTTTCAGTATTAGAATGATCAGCACTTCTTAAATAACTTTTAAACCTGCCCATTATAAGGATTAGTACACAGTGAAATTCATGTTAGGTATTCTTAACTGTAGAGGAAACTAGCTCCTCTCATTCTTTCTGAAAAATGGAAAGCTAAACTCACGGCTAAATTAGAATGCATATATATTCAAATAATTCTGTATCTTACATTTACTCTTTTTCTGTTAAATATTTCTGGAAGATTTTAATCTCTGCATGGCTTCAGTCTCTTTTGGTGTTTTTGTATTTGTTCTGTAATTCAGATGTGGTTAAAAAGACAAGGTTATGGGGCTATATAACTACATACTGTTAAAGAAGTGAACAAGCTGTCTACTAAATGTTTTTTTTGGAGTGATATGGGATAAGCAAGAGAAATTAACTCATGGACAGCAACAATAATTAAAGAAATAGATAAAAAAATCTCCTATCTCCTTTTCTTAAAAGCCATATATCCCTGAAATGGTATTTTAGGTTCCTTTGTTTCGTTGCTGGTTTTTTTTTTTTGTTTTTTTTTTTTTTTTTAATTTTTAAAGCCATTTAGTGTTATTTCCAATAAGGAAATGCCTTATACTTTTCAGAAACAAATTTGGCATTTCATCTTCCTTAAAAGTAGATCTATTCAGTATAAATTAATGATGAACTGTTTAATTTTTGAGCTACCATCTCTTCATTCTCATTCCAGGACATATTCTGGGTAACAGCACAAAAGATCATAAGTTCGTATTTCATAACCTTGTGCCATTTACAATGTATGATGTGTATGTCAGTGCAGAGACGAGTGCTGGTGTGGGACCAAAGACAAACCTCACAGTTTTCACTCCTGCAGATGGTAAGTAAGCATGCAGAAATAAAGTAAATAGGCTGTACATAGTAACTGGTACCGATTTTTCCTTCAAAGACATTTAGTTTCCTTGCAACAGAAGGAATGAAGGTGTTGAAAGAGAAGTCTAATAAACTAGTGAGAGAAACGAGCTGGAAATCTATGGAGTTGATTTATTTTTCCAACTTTATTTTGGAGTTCATAGACAGTCATTAAATTTATTTGCTTATAGAAGCCTTCAGAGGCTGTGAAAGGAAAGTAGCTTCTGCCTGAGCAAAAGTAGTACTTTAGATATGGTAATTGTTGCATGTCACCCTTTTAGACGTTAGATGGCAGCAAGTGGTAGGGAAATAACATTGCAGGACTCCACTATGACCACTTTGTTCAACCCTGAAATCTCATTCGACTGATTTTCTCCAAATCCAGGGTCTCTCGGCAGTATCTAAGAGAGCCACCTTTACAAGAGACCGTATCTCTGAGGGAAACACTGAGATTTTGTCCTGGGGCAAAGTGCTTATTAGTTCTGCTTCAGAGTCTCTCTTTTGCTATGATCTGGAAGTTTGGGCTCCCAATAGCTCACTCCTCAGGGGCCAGACTTTTGCTCGGAAGAAACGTAATTTTATTTTTATATGTATGTGAGATTGTGCAGAATTACTGGTCTGCAGGTAAGAGTTCAACCAGAAAAAAAAAATGGGAATTACTATGTCATAGATAGGCAGTTTCAACATCGTTATTTTTATTATTTTTGTGCTACAGAGCACAAACTTAGAAAAGTCTCAATTGTTGGTTTTGGCAAAGCTTGCTATTGAGGTTCCTCCTGCTGTTACACCTTAATCGCAAGCTTTGCCAAAACCAGCGATTGCGATAGTTCCTTATAGTTCCTATTTTTTCCAACACTATCTGATTTTGTGAGAGCTCAGAGGCAGTTTCCTGAGATGACCCACCTCAACAGAGCCATTTTTGTCTTCTGTCTAAACTCAGTCAGAAGCCAAATCCTTTTTGATTTTGTTTTAAATGACATGGAATCTCTAATTTTAACATCATACGTGCCAGCTTTCATTATGCAAGGAATTTCAGACTTGTCTTTTTCTGCAGTATATTTGTAAGAAACAATTTTTTCATACCAAATCTGAATATAATAATTTTGAAAAAAGAACTATTCTGATCTCTGACAGTCCTATGCACAGTACAGTATCATTATTAGTGCATAGTTAAAGGAGGATTTGAATTGAAATTCACCGTAAAACTGAAATGAACAAGATGTATCATATTCAGTGTATTTTCTCTCAGCTTTTTATTTCATTCTTGTATGACACTGATGAATCAGGAATTAAGTTTTCATTTTCAATGTACTTGAGAGTCCATACCTAGAAATAAGGCCTAATAGCAGTGCATTAGCTTAAGTAGAACCATCCTAATTTATGTCATTTGACCATAGTAATATATATGTCATATATGTGGGAAAAAAGTGAGAATATTTTTAGAAATGTAACTTGTTTGCTGAAACAAACACGTAAAGTAACTTTCTACCTATGTAGGTGAAACTCAGAGGATAAGAACGTGAAATTTTTTTAAATGCATATTGTACTTTGCTTACAGTGTTGAAAAAATCTAGTCATTGGATATTTGTAATTAAATCAACTTTCTTCTTGAACGCTTAGTCCCAGGTGCTGTATCAGATTTACATCTAGCAGAAGTGGAAGCTACATACATAAAAATTGTTTGGAGAAAGCCACAACAACCAAATGGAATCATTACCCAGTACAGAGTTAAAGTCCATGTGCAAGAAAAAGAAGTTACACTGGAAAACATAATTCTCACTGGAAAAAATAAGGTATTTAGCTTCTTTTAAATACAGATTTCTTTGCTAGATTAAATCTGGTTCTCTGCCTTGTTCAGTAGGTATAGTACGTGAAATTAGCTGCCTCAGATGAGTTATTAATATTTTTAAATGCCAGCTTCCCCATGCCACCCTCTTTTTCTGGCTGTTTGAAAGCGATTTGAAAGGATGCTATCCGTACTACATGAAAATCATAAAGAACTCTGGAGAAATCCAGATCCTGAATTTTGTAGCTACTGAAGTCAAGACTCCGTAGCCAACTGATGATGTTATTTTCTTTTTAGTATGACAGTTCTTAGCATACCTAAAGAAGAGTATAGGTGCCTAGATCAGTAAATAGCCACTCAGGAAAACTTCCAGATGTGGATGTGAATCCTATGGAGAAGTGAGTACAGTGTAAGTTTCCTTGAGCTGTTCAAGTGCTTTCCTTTCAGGGCACCATCTGCACCCTTGTATTTAAGTATCTGACACTGCATACTAAACTCCATGCTATGGATGTAAGGATATCTGCACATGACATGCAAATAAAATCCTTTGTGGAACTACAGTGACAACTTCTCTAGCTTTTGTATTTTGGCCACTGATGTGCTCTGCATGCGTAGGCCATTTTGAGCATGCTGCACAGAACTGTCGATACTTAGCAGCTCAAGAAAGTTCTTTCTAAGTTAAGGCTTTTTAAAAAGATCTTAATATTGAGTATAGCTGTCAAAACTTTGCATAATTCCTTTTTTAGAAACTGCTTGTCTTCTGACACAGAATCTTTGTTTTTGATACAGAGTTCACTGAAGGAGTTTTCTTTTAAGTTGCATGTTATAGATTAAATAGAGCCCTGGAGCCAAATGTTTATAAAAGAGCTGGGGAGAAAGATGAGGATAAGGATTCATTCATTAAGCCAGACTAAGGTCCTTGAAAAGTGAAATTATGTAACCCTATAATTAAAGATTATATCATAGTATATACAGAAAAGATGAAAAATTATCTACAGAGACATAAGCTAATGCTGGGATTTCCTAATTTGTGAATTCTTAATTTAGAATCAATGATGCTTTCTAAAGCTTATTGAATTTAATTTTCTAATTAAAGAACAAAACAAATCATAACACTGTTTAAAGCCTCAGAGACAGAAGTTGTTTTCATGTGAGTACTGTTTTAATGTAAGAGGTCGGTGAAAATGAGGCATATATGTCTTTTACCAGTTCGTACTTCGGTTAGATTGATGCTGAATATCTGGCTGTGGTTAATCTAACCTAGTTAAAATAGTAAAAAAGAATCACAGAATGTCTTAGATTGGAAGGAACCTTAAAGATCACCTGTTCCAACTCCCTTGCTGATCAGGCTGCCCAGGGGCCATATCCAGCCTGGCTTTCAACACCTCTAGGAATTGAGCATCCACAGGTTCTCTGCACAATCTCTTCCAGTGCTTCACCACCCTCCAAGTAAAGAATTTCTTCCTAACTTGAATTCTTCCCCTTTCAGTTAAAAGCCATTCTTCCTTGTCCTAGGACTATTAGACCACATAAACAGTCAGCCTCTCTTCAAGGAATGCCACAATGAAGCCTCCCCAGAGCCTCCTCTTCTCCAAGTTAAACAAGGCCAGCTCTCTTAAACTTCATTTATAAGAGAGGTGCTCCAGCCCTTTGGTTATCTTCTTGGCCATCCTCTGCACCTGCTCTGACAGCTCTACATCTTCCTTGTGCTGGGGGCTCCAGGCCTGGACATAGTACTTCAGATGGGGCCTCACAGGGGCAGAGTAGAGGGGGACAATCACCTCCCACTCCCTGCTGGTCATCCCTCTTTTGCTGCAGTCCAGGATACTCTTGGCCTCGTGCCCAGCGTTTCATCCACTAAGACCACCAAGTTCTTGGCACAGCTCCTCTCAATGAGTATTTCTCTCAGTCTGTACTTGTACTTGGCTTTATTAAACCTCATTGGGCTCACATGGGCCCACTATTCAAGCTGTCCAGGTCCCTCTTTATGGCATCCCTTCCTTCTATGGTGTCAAATGCATAACTCAGTTTGGTGTCATCTACAGACTTGCTGAGGGTACATTCAATCTCACCATCTATGTAGTTGATAAAAATAAAAAAGGCTATTGATAAAAAAGGCTTCGTCTCCTCTCTCCACCTGAGGTCTATAAGGAGAGGGCTACTGTGTATTAATTGCATCGCTACAAAAATATCTCTTTCTGGCAGTGAAGTTGTCCATATGTGTGAGTGGGGAGCGTTCATGGATGACAGGATAACAATTTAGAGACACTGCAGTCCTGGATTTGGTCCCACATTCTGAAAGGCCAAAATGATCTAGTGCTTATACACCATTTTACGCTTATTCTCTAGCCTCTCTCTCTTCAGCTTTCCTTGTACCACTCACTGTAGTAATTTCTCCCTTTAAGTCTACTTGCATCCCTTTTCAAATTTGTCTTTTGCCTGACCCTGCTGTCTTATTGACCTTTACATCACTTGCCTCCCTTTCATTCTTCTGTTCCACATATTTACTCCCCTTTTTAAAACTCATCTTATTTTATTAGCCTCGGTTTTTCTCCCACTCTCATCTATTCTTTACTCAGAGGTCACACAGATAACTTTTTTCTCTTTCATCAGTCTGATCAACCTGTTGTTCTTCTTCCTCAGGGCCTACTGGGGGCATCTGAAGCCCTCTTCTTGTCAGCACCTCCTATCCTGCTGGAAAATGCTTAGTACAAATGGAGTCTTCCAAGCTCAAATGTGTCTTTTCGATATAGCTACAAGGATAGTAACATTAAATTTGAAACTTTAAAATCCACATTTTAAGAAATTTTAAGAAATTTTTAAAATGCATGTGCTGTTCATTTATTTTTAAAATGAGCAAGCTGTAGGATACAAGCACCTGAGTTTTCTTGTAAAAAATATTGTTTTGCAAAGTTAGTTATATATCACATGAATATCATTGTAATGGTCGCAATACACAATTTATATGCTGTATGTATAAATTGCAATAAGGAATATAAGAATGACAAAGATTGTGACTTTATTTTTCTAATTTTTAGTATTTAATTGATTCTTTGGAACCATACATGATAAATGAAAACATTGAACCTTCTCCCACCTGGAATTCAATAGAAACAGCCAATGAATTATATGAAGGTTCAGGTGAAATGTTTTCTAGTATTCAGACAGCTTCCCCAGTGATATTTACAAGTGTGTCTGATGATCATTTGCCTGCTATAAATGGACCTGCAGAATTACATTCTACTTTGGGTAAGATATTTCAAGATATTTTTCTACTTGTTCCTTTGCTCCAGAGGACCACCATCACTGTCCCAACTGCAAACTTTAGCACATGGCTCAGGCAAATTATGAATGGGTCATTTGCTGGAGTTGGATTTTTTTACTACCAAATAACCTCCTGAAGCAAATGGGAATGCCACACAGGCAGGAACTAGCCCCTTGTCACCCAGCTGACCTTCTTCCTAGTGAAAGGAGCACCCGAAAGCCATCAGCCAAGCTGCATAGACAATCAGTTATTACAGTTGCCAAAGCAGGTGTGATTGTCAGGGATTAACATATCTGCAAGCCCTTCAGAGACCTTGATTTCTCTAAGCCTTTTGACTAATAGGTTTTCAAATGTCAGTGAAGGTAAATAGGTCAGAAAGTTACAACTTGACTATATGGGTTACAAACAGGTGGAGATGACCCCATGACATGGTGATGTCATTAGTGTGTACACTTGTTCTGTATTATCAATGGAACAGTGTCTCTTTGCTAAGTATGAATATTAACAAATCATTAAGCAGTTTTCTGCTGACAGGCAAGGTCTTAAAATACCACTCTGAATTTTTACAATGAGAATTTTAAGCAGTGGACAGAAAGTCAGTTTTTTAAAAGAGCTATTGAAATCACTGGATTCCTCTGTCTACACCAGTGTTTAAGACCAGAATTTAATCCATTAAATTCTGTAATGTTGAGTGGATCTTTACTATAGTAATCCTAAGGGGTCTTCTCTGTCATACAGAGAAAACATACAGTGCTTTAAAAGTGACTTTTCTTTTTACTGCCTCATTCAGCTTCAATTAGTGAGTTGCTAAAATGTCTATGATGATGAAAAATTAAATTCAAACATCATCTGTTGTAATATAGTGCACAATTATTAGAATAGTTGTTATAGTAAAGTTGTTGACAGCCAAGTTTTCAACAGTGCTTGCTGATATTTAGATGCTGATCATTGGGCCTGATACTTAGATGTGTAAAGTACCCGAACCTTTTCATGTTGCAATGTCATAGTGGCTCCTTTATAATAGAGGATTTTGGCTAGAACAGTTGGTCTGCTGCTGACTTTGGACTGATGCACAGATGTGCAGCAAAAACTTTTTGTGGGCATGTGCGTGATTTCTTCATTCTGCTCTGACTCTTCTGCTGAAAATACCATCATGAAGTGATATGTGATGGGAGCCATTTCAAGTATAGCTGTTGGGAGGGAAGAGAAATGAAAAAAAAACCCTAAAAACAACAACAACAACAAAATAATCAGAAACCTCAACAACATAGGAGCTACAGTTCTGTAATCACGGGGAAAAATAGACTCTCTACAAGTATGCTTTTTCTTAGTTCCTAGATTCCTCTTTATTTTAAATTTTATTTTTATTTTGAGATAGTTGTCAGTTTTAGTTTGGTTTTAGTTTGTTACCATGCATTCTTTCAGCTAGGCCAAGCTATCTATCCTTCTTCCTACTGTCTGAATTTCATACTTCATAGAAGACCTCTGAAAAGCAGAGGGGATTACATGCTTGATGGTTGACTTAATAACAATAACTCCTTGGTGATGAGACACTGTGTAACGTTTTCTTTATATTTTTTTGATTGCCATGGAAAGTAATTCTTTTTGCAGTAAAATTGTTATAGGTTACTGTGTCAGAGTTTAGAACACAAAAGAAAAAATAAGAGTTTACAAATAAGTGACTATTTCTCTCTATTTAATCACAGATGATCAGTATGCCACTAACATTTTGGGTGAAGAACTGTCGTATGTTATAAAGGGCCTTGTACCTTTCACAGACTACACAATCAGTGTGTCTGCTTTCACTGCTGTTGGAGAAGGGCCACCATCTGTTCTCACAGTCAGGACACGTGAGCAAGGTAAAATGTAGCTCAGAGCTAAGTTAATGTCTCCAAGTTCTTTCAGGCAATTTTAATCTGTTAAAAATTGTTTCTTTTACTTACTGTTACATTTTTTTTGTTTGTTTATTTTCATTTAAGTTCCAAGCTCAGTGCAGACTATATCCTATAAGAATATTAGTTCCTCCTCTGTTTTGCTGTATTGGGATCCTCCAGCAAATCCCAATGGGAAAATCATTCATTATACCGTTTATGCGATGGAGCTAGATACAAAAAGAGCATTCCACACAACAACTTCAAACAACAGCTTACTTATGACAGGTACTGTGTCGTGTGCTAAAAAATAATTGCAAATATATTATTCAAAATTGCTTATTCCAACTTTTTGCATTGTAGCCGCTGTAAGGTAGGTAGATCATCTCTGCCCCATCCACACATGCACACAGTGCAGATGGAAAATTGGTGCCAGACTTGTCTGCTGTGGAGAGGTATGTAGGGAATGTGAGAACAGCAGAGAGGACTACATAAGGCAAGTAATGTAGTGAGTAGTAATTTCTCAAGTGGATTTCTCCTTACCAATTTTTCCTCATCTCATTCTTTCTACACAGAAAAGTGTTTCGAAACAGTTAATTCTTGATTTCTTTTCCATACAGAATTTGTCTGATGTTAATAATAATTTTCTTCTTTTGAGGTGATAATATTTATGCTAATTGAAGGAAATATATTAGTTATGCTGTTTCAGGCACTCATTTGAGCTAAACAGAGTAATGCATGTACAATAAAACACATATTTGTGTGTATACGTACACATTCCTGTTTTCATAATTAAAGCAATTTACAGGATTGAAGCTAGTTTAATTATTTCAAAACTTATTGATTTGTCTAAGTGTTTATTTGACATTCCCCAGATAAATGATATTGTGCAATTTCTATATTTTAGTTGTCAAATATGTTTCAAAAACTCTTAGAGCACTTGAATAGTTTTATAAAAAAGCTACAACATGTTCAAGACATGTTCAAGGAGAATCATTGGCAGTCTTTTTTTTTTTTTTTTTTTTTTTTTTTTTTCTCCACTTAATCTTTTTAGGTTTAAAAAAATATACCAACTACAAAATGAGAGTTGCAGCATCTACCGTGATTGGAGAAAGTGCTTTG